GTGCCAGGTCCTGGGCCACTGAGGTGCACCATTGACATTTCTTTTCAGCTGTATGGGAAGACAATGAATGACAATGAACAAACTTCAACGACAGCCCGTGAAAAACTATAGGCTCGCCACTGGTCCGGCTCATTCTCCTCAGAACAGGCTTGACACACATCCTGCACGTCCTGAAGCTTTACGATCAGCGAAACGGCAGGCAGCTTCCAACCAACAGGTGCCACCGAAGCACATACAGACCTCGAATGCAGCACGGCGCTGCTGCAGACACTGGCTGGATCGGGCTGGTCACATGATGACATGCCGAGGGCAGTGCCACCGGTGATGAAAGCAAACACTGCCACCAACCTAAAATTTGGCAAGATGCAGCGGCAGGCATGACACCATGCTAACAAATGCCACCGATTACCCTACTTTCTGATAAAACATGCCGTTAAAACACATAGAGACTCGGATTCGGCCTTAAGAGGGCCAAGGGGCTTCACGAAGTTATTTAGCGCAGGGCCGCTGGTGTCCTCTAACGGGCCTCCAATCATCTCACCTGCACATTTCATGAAAATCTCGAAGCATTTCGCAACCTTTCGCCGGGTCTTCGGCAGTTCGCTTCTGACTCGGCCTACGCCTAGATAGCCGTATTGGGCAGAGTCCGGCCCGATGGCTTTGCCGTCGGCCCCCTGACAAAACACACGCAAAGCCGCAACGCGCCATGAAACGACTTGCACAGAGGAAACCCACCTTTAAGTGACCGAAGAGCACGTACTTCCTTGCGGAAACCCAGGACTGGCCAGAGTTGATGAGGAAGAGGCTCAGGCACACGCCCTGGATCAGAAAAGACACCTTTGTGTTGCCTTGCGCTGATGTGCGATCTGGGAAGCCGGCTAGGACGTTCATGCCCGACAGAAGCCAAATAAGGCCACGTGTGCCCAAGAAGAAGCCGCCAAGCAAAGGGCAGATCATCCTTCTTGAATGACTTCTGCGCCCGTGGCAATGAGTCAGCTTAGGGAGAAAAACTCAGCTGCATAGTGGTAGCCGAGTATCGAGTGGATGATCGGGCTGAAGACTAGGCCTTGGCTGCGCCGGAGCCGAAGCAAACCCCACGGGCCTGAATCCGAAGACAACATCTGATCTTCGACAGTCTTGTTCAGAATTGCCAAGGCTCGCATGGAGGTGATTGTTCCGAAAGAGCACAGTATCTGAATCCCTGGCTTCGTTGATGCAGCCCTCTCAGCCAGCACGCGCGTACATACGCATAGGCTATTTGCACGCGCCTTTGATGTGCGACTGTGGAAAAGGCAGATCTGCTCGCTTGGACACGGTCGTCGACTCCTAAGTGCTTTTTGTGCCACTTCTCGCATTCTTTCCCGACCTGTTTATGCTCATCATGTATTTAAGCCAATATCCCACAGAACCATGCTCTCAGCGCCAGGCTTTGCAAAAGCGCATGAAGGACTTGGACGTTTCGAGGCCTCGGCGCCAGAAGATGACAAAAGCTCCGCAAAACTCTCGAGCTCTGCACTTAGGGCTCCGGCAGCTGACCGTGCAGTTCCCAGTAAAAAGGAACCTCAGAGTCTCAGACGCTCTTCATTCTACAGCTACGCGCTCCGTAGGTCTGTGCAGGGCACTTGCGGTTCAAGCAAGCTGCGGCATGATGACACCCAGCACCAGCCCAGCTTGGCTCCACTCTGACAGTGGTGATCCCGAAACTGCCTGCAGCACGAGCGGGGACATTCCGACATGGCATCTTCTGCACATGAGAGCCAGCATGCGGAGCAGCATGCATGCGGAGCGCTGGCCCAGCTTTCGGCTTCGCGCCTGGTAGTCCATGCTACGAGTTGTGTAGCTTTCCGCCAGCAGGGTCAAAGCAACATTGAAGACGGCGCTGAAAGCATTAATAGCTGAAATGGTATTCCCAGCTTGCATCGCCTGGAGATCGCATGTGGAGCTTCCCCAGTTCTGCATGGAATGATGTAAAGGCGCTCGGAAGAACACTCTACCTGCGGTGCGAGCCAAGAAGCCGTATCTCCCACCCTGAGAAAGCTGAGTCAGTGACGCCCTACAGTACCGTGCTTGTCCTACAGCATGTGCCCCTCATGCAGTCAGATTGTGCCAAGAAAACATGCTTCCCCGAGCCCTTGCATGTGATAATCAATCGTTGAGACTCACATCGGAAGCAATGCTAAAAAACAGTAAAGGGTTCAGAGCCTTTGGAGGTTCGAAACTGCTGGGGGAGGCCAGGCCTCACAAGCCTCGCACAAAGCTGGGCTTCGGCTTGGCCAAACTCTGTTGCTGCCCAGCACATTGTATCCGTTGTTGCTGCTCCCCACCTCTTGACACTCTCTAGACACTAAGCCTCTTTTTGATTCTTCTTGTTTTCAGTCCAGACTGTGGCCACCTTTGTGGCTCTGACTTCTTGTTCATCGTTCTTTTTCTGCAATCGTTATTGGGCCAATTATTGGGGGACAGGGAGGCGAGAAGCCCTGTAAAGGCAAAGTGCCTGTCAAGCTCGGGGCGCAGAATGCTACCAAGTCGCGTAGCACAGATATTTGCACCTTGAAGGTGGCGCACGCTCAGCCATTGAAAGGCTTGCTGTGCTTCTCGAGACCTTTAGCAGCTTTAGCAATTCCTGATGGCCCAGGGGCGGTTTCGACTCAAGGAATCGTGCGTCGTCAAGTGGACCTGCTTGTGGGCGTTTGTGAAGATGGCGCCGAAGGAAGCCAAACTGCCCTGGAAGCCAGTGCCTCACTCGGTGAACTTGAAGAAGCTTCCCAAAGAAGCTTCCAGAGACATCGGACACGAGACAGTTTTGGCCAGAGCGCCACTCACAGAGGAGGATGCAAGTAAAGCAAGCCCGTAGTGTCCTTCCAGTGTCCAGGTGACCATGACTGCCAGCACCTTTCTCCATGTTCATGTCTCGATGTTTGTTGAATTGTTCAAGCCCTGTCACCTACACTGGAGCGACTTTGGCGACAACAACACCGTGCAAAGCTTAGGTGGGCACCAGAAGAATGGCAGGTGCCGACGTGGAAAGGAACCCCTGCCCGAGGCCCTGCAGCACCACCTGGAAGTTCGGGGGAGGGGGAGGGGTGAAGCCCTGTGCAGAAGATGTTGTAGGGCCCTGTAGGCATGGCAAGAGGGCCTGAACCACTCCATTCTTGGAATTGGCTGCCAGCGATCTTATCGGCCAGTAGTCAGGAGATGTGAAATACTCGCCCGCCATGACGCACAGCCTCTGCAGGTCAAAAAGCACAGCTGATTCAAAAGCCAGAATCACACGTGACCAACATATACACAAACCTTGAGTGCACTGCTCTCACTACTACACACGGTCGGATTTGCAGATTTCGAGTAGCTCTGGGAGGAGCTGCCCGACCATCGAGATGACAACCTCACGGAACCAGGTGTGGCAAAGCTTTATCACCACCTTGCTCGAAATTCGGACATCCTGTTGCCAGGCGACGAAGTGCCAGAACATGGAGAAGGTGATGCTGCCGTGCACCCACTCCAGGTAGCTAACCCCAATCCTTTAGGAGGCTCAAGAATTCTCAATCAATGTACTCTACCAGGGCCAACAGGAGCCAACATAACCCACAGAAGAAAACGTTTAAACCTGCATCTTGGGCTCTGTACAAACTGGACGAAAACGATCACGGCCACCCTTGGCTTTCACTTTACACGTGGAAAGCAAAGGATTAGTAGGCCTTGGCGAGTCGCAGGTTGAGACGCATCGACCACCGTATAGCTCGGGCACTATATCCTTGGACTGGACAGGCGAGCTCAGAGGCTCAAAGCTGTGAGACCAAATGAGATATGAAACGAAGTCAAACTGAGATGAATTGAGGCTCTTTCAGTGCAGTGCACCTTAAAGGTTGCCAAAGCACAGCCTGCCAGAACACGCGAGCGGCTGCATCACAAAACGGCGCCGAAAGCTGGCAAATGCTGCGCCTATGTTTCCAGAAGCCACGATCCAAAAGGGAAGCCCGGTCAGAAAATGCGGCACCGCTGAAATTTTTGCACCGATGATTGCAGAGGTGCTGAGGATCAGCACCATGGACTCCTCTGTTGGGACGCTTTTGGCAACATTTTAAGGCAATGGCTACCCATAACATGCCAGGCTAGCTTCTCGGACCCCGGTGGTGAGTCCAAGGCACAAAAAGGTCAGCGCAAGTTCCGGTGACATCGCAGATGACCTCGCCAATCTCATCCAGAAAATCAATGGGATGGAGATCCTTCGAATCCAGAAGCAAGCCTCTCGCACCCTCACCACAGTCGCCCGGCCCTGGTCCCTATTGCAGCTGGAGCGGCTGAGCAGATATCCTGCATTTCTTCTTCAAGCAGGCGCAGCTGATCCAAAGCTTCCTCCTCATCGTCCTCCAAGCCTTCAGCTCTCAGCAATGCGACACGCAATGAGATGCCAGGGCTTGCGGGCCGAATCTATGACTCCCTGGTTTGCCCACCTTTCTGCAGACGCTCCTTTCGCGTGTTTGCAATGTTTTCCTTTGATGCCGCGGATGAATGCAAACAAGCAGTTTTTCAGACTGACTGATCTAAGAAGTCCACACCTGCAACATGGCAGAAGCAGTGGCAGAGGCACGCCAATCAACACTAGTGCGGGCGTTGAATCCATACGCTGCTGCAGTTCGAAGACACGCCGCTCTTCATCAAACTTCGTTTCACTCATCTCACCAACGAGATCACCACCTTAACAAAGCGCCAACTCACCGAAAGTCAGTGGTAGAGCTGGCAAAAGAGACTGCCAAAGATGCCTACGATGACTGTTGTGGCCCTTTGATGTCGCCATGGAGCCCAGGTCGGCGCCCTTGGAGAAGATGCCCCCGCCCACGCGCAAGTAGAAGGAGACAAGGCAGGCCCCGGAGCCAAAGCCCGAGAGCAGAGAGGTGTCCAAAATCCAGAACCACATCCCCGCCATACCTCGGCTTCTTCGCTTTGCACATCCTTGCGCACTCGGCGCTTCATTCTGTGGTGATTCGGCAAGGTTGGGGCTTCTAGGGCATAGTGTGATGCATTCATAACACCTGGAAAGGATGTAGAATTCTCAATGGAAGGCAAAAGGCCACCCAGAGCCAAGGATGTCGAGAGTAGCCCTCCGATAGATCCAGTCCACATTCCCAGCCGCACCGACCGAGACAAGTTCTCACCAAGGAGCGTCGCCAATCTGCATGTTCCCTGCACGGTGGTGCGGACGCCTACCCAAGCAGAGAGCAAGTTGAGCAGTGCCCCGGCGCCGAAGCAGGTTAAGGTGCCCCAGCCCGCAGTGACGAAAACGTACCCGCCGGCTGAGACAAGGAACAGCAGGATCACGGGGATTGTTCGGGACATGTATATCTGAACACCCTCCTTGATCAGCATGTTTATATCCACCTTTCACAGCAAGGAACAGCGGACGACAGACAGCGCTACAAGAAGTCTGCGATTGTTCGTCAAGTCGCATTTCGGGAAATGCCTTGGGTCTCCAAGAGCATCGAGTTTGCAAAGAAGCTCACCTCGGGTTGTGCAAAAAGAAGCTAGAGAGCGGCATGCTGGTGTCAATGCGGGTGCGGCCATGAAGCCGTGAAGAGCCCCAGGGAAGCCGCTGCAACCGAGTAGTAAAGAGCAACTTGCGGCAGGTGATATCCTCAAAACAAGTTACGTCACGTCAAGCGTACAAGCTTAGACTTCAACAACATGACTACATACATCGCGTTCCGGACGAAAACTTGGGGAGCACTGGCATGTCGCGGCAGAGTGGCTGAAAGGCTCGTTAATCTCTCGCATGGTTGCCATTTGGGGCTGTTCTTCAGGTCCGTAGGGCGGCTTCTGTTGCCGGACGAACGAAATCTCTTCGGAGATTCGTTCGATACCATCGCCCTGCCCATAGTTTTCAAGAAACCTATAACTGTAGAATTACGTAATGACTTAGTGAGCTTCAATGCCACTGCTGGCGCAGCAAGCATGGTGTGCCGGTGTGCCACTGCGAGCGATGGCCTGGAAGGTAAGCACACCCATGGTCACAGAACCTGGTGGCCCAGGGAGCATCCGACCAACTAGTCATGCCAAGTGTGTCTCACATGCGCCTTTCATTTACACAGCCTGCTCCATGCAGGCAGATAGCAAATGCACACCACAAGCCAAAACATCATCATCCATGCTGCAAACCAACTGAACTCGCCCTCGATGACAATGACCTGTCAGGCACTCTGTCACTCTGTCAGTTGGCCCGCGCTTGCACCAGAACCGCACCCAATCCAGGCCTCCTCACCAGCTTTCTCACGCACCTGCTCCTCTTCACCCTCCGGCATGGCCCAGACTTGGATAGCCTGGGGACATGGTCTGAATCCACACTGCTACGACACGGATGGCTGCACAGCAATGCAAGCGGGACAGGCCCGGCAAAACATGAGAACAGGCGGAATGACCAGCACTGCATGGCGTGCCTAGCTCAGCCTGCGCCGGTTCGAAGAACGCTGCATGCTGCCACGGCTGCCTTGAGGCGTGCTGGACTCTGCTGGACCAGCAGTTGCTGTTGCAGACGCCGTTTCTGCATGTTTCTGCGAAGGCGTTTCTGGCAATTTTGTTCCATCCATGGCCTAGAGGGCGGCTCTTCTGGCGACCATGGCTGCACTGTCCCTTGACAAACTACGTTCGGACCGACATTGGCTGCACAATCAGCAGCTTCGGGTGCACCTGCCCCGAGATGGCCCGGAGATGCGCACACCGACAGAAATCATCTGCTAATGAAACTGGTACATAGGAGGGCCCCGCGGCCCCGGCATGGAAAGTCAGCAGGGATGAGATTGGCGTGCCGAACACCTCCACATAAGGCCACTGCTTTACAACACATCCATTGAGCGATCCGGCGATGAACAAGTGGTCAATGAGCGACTGCTTCTCTTACCGGGCGCCTCCCAATGCTTGACGTCTTCCTTGAGTTTTGTCACATCTACCAGGACGCCGGTCCTCTCCTCTGCGACAAAGGTGCCGGCTGTGTAGCCTCGTTTTTGCTCATGTCAGACTGATCTTGCACTGGAAGATCGCAGAGCAATCATTAACATTTGGGGGGGCGACCGATTGTGTATCCAAGGTCGCAGTCGAAGTTGCTCGGAAGCGCCGCACCTTGCGTAGATCTACACGAAAAACTGGGACTTTCCCTCCAACAAGAGTTAGTAGCTAACTAAGACCCTGTGTAGATGTGTCCAGGCAAATCATATGAGCATATAGCCAGCTAAGGTCGCCGCGTGCCTGATACGGCAAAGAGTATGTAATCGCCTGCAGCAGCCGTCTACGATATAAGGGTCGGGTTTTCCAAGCTTGCTCCTGGCTCTTGGAGCCTGGAAGGGGCCCCTGAACTTACCCATGACGACACGGCGCGTCAGCTCGCCCTCCACCATACTCTTGAAGATGACCTCTGCAGTCCGAAGTTCTTCGGCAAGTTTCCCGCACGCTTAGACCAACACACTCAAGAGGACATGCACACAAAGCAAAACGACAAAACTATCACTGGGTCACTCCAGAAAACAGAGAGACAACAGAGAGCAACCCGCAAAGGTGCAAAAAACACAAGCAGAAAACAAATTCGGGGGGAGAGAGCATGCTCACCTACCGGCCTCGGTCTCCACCGTGCCAAGGTCGATGTTACCTCCACGACAGAACTCGCCCTGGCACGGGGTGGATGTCTTCCTTTCCTTTGCCTTCTGGCTCGTTCGCCAAACTGTAAAAAGGTCTAACTCCAGATGTCTGATATAACAACTGCAACTGCATCTGACGTCTCCGGAGCACTCGCCACCTCCACCACTACCCGGCAAATTTGCACGCGAACTCGCTCTGGCATTGATTTGAACCTGGATGCATTCGGCGCATGCTGCCATGCGATACATATCAACACAGCCACCATCTGCACCACCCAGTGGCACGAGGGAGTGGGCTTTGCTGACTTGAATTGAATTCTCTCTTGACTTGAAGTCCAAGGTGTTGGCAAAGCCGCAGTGAGAGGGGGCCTGGTAGGATCCATTCGTCGTTTCGGCGATCTACACTGTCACTGACAATCTCACACGCTATCACACTTTATCACGGTAGCCCTTTTTGATGAATCACTGAGGCTCCGACAGCAAATGCTGAACCACTGGCATGTCAATGACGCCGTTGGTATTCAAGTCTTGGAGTTGCAAGACAGGCCGCAATTTGGCTGCAAGGCAGAGAGCGCTCTCTGGTGCTGTATCCGGGTGGTTCTTTAACCAACCCAACCGCAAGAAAGAGCGCGGCTGGCGAAGCATTCCGGGCATGCGGTGTAGATCTCGTAGATCTGGCAAGGGCCGCGTTGCATGTGTTGCTGCATTGCATTGCTAGATATGTTGCTGCGACATGTCTCGACATCAGACGACTACGACAGCACGAGCAGCCTCCCGAAAAAGTTGCTTCATCTCCTTAGCTACGCTTGGCTACGCTACTGATGCCCCTGAGATGGCTGACATGGAATCTTTCGAAAGTTGCCGAATTTCTGGGGACAACTTTCTCTCACACTTCCCAATTGCAGACTCAGCAGTGGTACCTTGCCCTTTAAGCCTTGCCCTTCGTAATAAACAGCATGCGTGCAAGCCACGAACACTGATGCCAGGAGCTGATCTGGAACCAAGACCTCGCTGCCACAGAGCTATGGCCCACACACTACGGCCATGTGCAGCTCAATCATGCGAGGCGTCGGGGCAGTGGCTACACCATTGTTGTTCCCTTCTTTGCTTCGGATCTCAATGACCTTCGAGATGAGTTAAAGTGGCGATTTAAACATCGGGAAGTCTGTACCGTAAGCTCCTCACGTTGCAAATCATCTGCGTCACATCTGTAAGGCCCAGCTGCTCGTTTCCAGTATCCGATGACCTGGCCCAGCTGAGTCCGCAGAGTCTTTTCCAAGCGGCTATGAGTCCAAGATCGTCCGGGGCGGCATCAGAACCACGTGTGGATGAGTAAGAAGCGCCACCTGCCGAGACCCACTCGGCAATCGGGATCATCAGCACCCTTCTTACAGCTTGTTCCCAAAGGACCTGCCATGGCTACAATGGCAATCGGCCTCAGCTGCAATGTGGGAAATCGACCGTCCAGGAATCCGCACGAAGCACCAAATCGATCCAGATGAAGCCGCCTTCACACACGTGGCTTCTGAAACCAAGAAGCTGAGAATCCATGGCTCTCAAAACCTACTGGGCTCAGAAGGTGCACCGCCTTGATGGCTAGATTTCCCACGATGGAGGAGTACAACTTGCAGACCGTGTCGTAGCCGAGAGTCCTGGAGAGCGAGGGCCGAGACCAGACAAAGACACGTACTGTACTTCTGAAATCTGATACGCTTGGGCCAGTTTGGGCTGAGATCTGCTGAGCTCGCTGCTGCTCGATCAGGGGAAGGTCTGACTGCACACCTTGCTTGGTCGGCTACAGCATGGGAAGGCAGGCAAGTGGAGAATGTGCTCTCGGAGCCAGGCTGGCTGGTATACCAACCACGCATGTTCTTACCTCAACTGCAAAGCACAGAGCAGAACTGAAAAGGGTGCTCACTGGCTTCGTGACCCAACCAGACCTTGTGCTCTGAGAAGTACTCGGCAAGGCGTGCGGTCCAGGAATGGACGTTGCGACCTTCCGGAGTCACAGAGTCACACAGCCACCTTCCACCGTTCACAGCAGACAGACAGCGTTGAGTCGAGCAATGCTTCAACCACACACAGGGTCATGCGGGTCATAATGCGACGCTGCTTCTGACAGGTCGTGACTGTGCCAAGCAAGACCAGATATGTACAGAACAGAAGTATGTACAGCAAGCCCAGGATTGCCATCACAAGGCCCTCGACTATTGCATCCAAAAGTCCCAGACCGCGTGCATACACTGCACGACGGTCCACATTCGAATCACCGCATCCACACCTTCACACCAGAAGAGGTTTTAAAATAACCCTGTACAAATATGCGCAACTCTGTGCAGTTGCTTAACGTTTCAAGCTTCAAGAACTAAAGTTGAAGTTTCCGCACAGCTGCTGTGTCACACTATCACGGTCTCGTTCAAAGAGGACCACAGCATTGAAGCACTCGGCCAAACTGCTCGCAAACCTGACCGGTCAAGCAGGTCCTCTGTCACACTTGTGGCCTTGGAGGCTTTTGAACGCACGGACAGAACAAGACTCGAAGACTCTAAGGGACCCCAAAATGGTGTGAGGAAGTATGGCTGAGGTGCTTGGTCCATAGTCGTTCCAGTTGCGAGCCACTCCGTGGGTAAGTGCAAGGCTCTGTCAACCCATCCCTTAGTGATAAGGCGCAAGGCCATGGACGCGATGGTTGGTGCGAAATAAGTGGCCTTGGACGTCGGGACCTTCATAGTCACGATCTGCATGTACATTCCCTTGGTCCGATCGACCAGAGGGTAGTAGCCGAACAAGCCCGCGTCCATGTGCACATCTGCCGCCTTGCACTTGTCAGTGAAGTCACTGGGTTTGGGCGGAAAACACTCGAAGTAGTTGCACATCGAATAGTGGCCCAGCAACTGAACCAGGAAGGTGCTGGAGTTTGCAATCCGCACTCCACCCAGGTAGTCTCTCTCCATCTCCCGACTCACCGTTTCAGGGATCAGCTCGTTGCCGACGTATGCCCGTAGTATTCGATCGTAATCGTCACCTGTCGTCATCATGTTTCCAGCCAGGCCCGGGTTCTCCCCACCCAACCAAGTGGTCGCCTTCAGGCTCAAGGGCCCTATGAGGTATCGGTGGAGTAACTCCTGCACGGAGATGCCAGCTGCATGCGCGACCATGGCTCCGGCCACTTGCAGATGGAAGGAGTTGTAGGCCCAAGCTGTTCCGGGCTCAAAAAGAAATGGGGCGAGGTCATAGATCTCCCTCGCACAGCCCTCAGCTGTGTATTCCGAGACGTTTGCACCCAAGCAAGGTAGGTTTCCACCAGTGTCCGGAGAATAGAAGCCACTTGTGAACGACATCAGATGCCGCAGAGTCACGCGACTCTTTGGAACAGCAGGATCTGACGTCCACCAAGGAAAAACCTCGTGCACGAAGGTATCAAACGTGACATGGCCTTCAGCCACACAAGCAGCAATCGCCATTGCAGCCGGGAATTTGCTTGAGGATGCCATGGCTAGCGGCGTCGACATTGAAGTGGCACCCTTCTCAAAAGTAAAGTGACGCGCATCAGCCTTGCCGGCAGAGAAAGCCATATCTTGAATCGGAAAGAAGGCGCTCAGAATCGCCCTGACCGACTCCCATCGATCTTCCACGCTTTGCGCAGACCCGCTCAGATGGAGCAGGCCAAGGCAAAACCACACACTTCTCATGCTCCGAGTCGGAAAGTTTTAAGACAGCTATTCCACGGGCTGTGTCAAGGGCTAAGGCTAAGCACCTGCGGCCTTGTCTCCTGCAGCTTGAGCAGCAGGGCCCACACGGGGTGTCCCAGCCCTATTACATGATACTGCCAGCGGACCTACCGGCACGGCTGTAAGATGCTTCTCCTCACATGTCACCAATCCCCCTGGTAGATGCTAGCAAGCCTATCAGGGCCCATCAGACTCGACACATGGACGACAGCCAGCAGGCTCGAGGCTAGGAGTACGTAAGAGACAGGGAGCAAATGCCCGCCTCCCCAAACCACGAGCCCATCCAATTTCAGGCGTCTGCATGTATTGGCACAAGACTGCCTCCAGGCTTGCTCTTAGACTCACAGGTGGTTAGACGTCTTTGCGAGTTTCGTAGGTTCCAAGCAGGTCGTTGCCCAGCTTTGCGATGTCCTGCCATGTAATTCCATGCAGCTAGGGCTGGACCTTTCCAAGTGACAAACATGAATATCCCAGCGTGTCCTCAGGCTGGCTCTGGCCGAGAAGATCACATCCTGCTGGACAAACTGACTCCCTCAAATGCTACATGCACCAGCCTAGGACGGCCTACACAACAAAGCTTGCGGCCTCCTTGGTTCCGGTGAGGGGCCAGCAGCTCCTTGAACGTCAAACAAGGAGGCTGCGTCATGCCCAATCTGACTGGCCTATGGGTGGTTAGTAAAAAATTTAGGCAACTTATGTCGGCTCACGTCTCCGATCCATCACGCAGCATGACTTACAAAGGACTCAGGGGCACCGAGCCAAGCATGCATCAGAGTCATGCGAGTCGGCTAACCCTAACCAGGCATGACCTTTGTCGCTGCGTGCCTCGGTGAGCTCGAAGGCATAGCAGTTGACCAGACCGGCGATGCCCATGGTGATGCACACCACCGTGCCGCTCCACACCTATGCAGCTCGTTCTTGAGCAAGTTGAGTGGGCTACAAAGATTTCACACCTGGAGGTAGTCGAAGAGGCCCATAATAACATTGTTGACTCCGGGTCCAGATCGTCCGATCAGCACGAGCCCGATGCCTAGCGCAAATCAACTCAGATCCAGTCAGCGATCCAACAGCCCAGTGACGGTTGCAAAGCGCCCGGCGCTGATGAAACCGTCGGAGGTCGAACTTGCCCAGCCTCATTGGGTGTGCTTGAGGGAGCCACGGGTTGCAGGGAGGAAGAGCATGAAAAAATCTGAAAAACTCTGCAAGCGCTGAGGTAGCTGCACAGGTGAAATTGGTTCTTTGGGTGATGAGAACCCCGCCTAAACGGACTCCAGAATCTGAGGATGTTGAGAATCTCACGGGTCGCCCCCAAGCTACGCAAGTCCACATTTCGAGGCAGAACCCCAGCCTTCGAGCTTGATTTTGAGCCTTTGCCTCGGAAGGCAGAAGCTACCCTTTCGTGGGGGGTCAGTGAAAGGGTGAGTAAGCTGGCTGAATGACTGACATGAATGCATGACCAACCCTGTCTGTCAGCAGATCCCTTGATCCACCCCCCTCCCCAACCCAACGTATGATCGCTGATTTCCACACGGTGTCCGGCCCTACTCCGGTCAAGCAAGGTGATTTCCCATCAACTCCGTGGGCTTAGAGGGCAGCGAGCAGGATCCGGGGCCTCTCGTCTCAGCACCCGAACTCGAAGGGCTGTCCTGAACGGCCATGTTGCCTCGCATTGAGCCACTGAGAAGATGCTCAAAGGTCAGAACCCAACAAAGGTTTTCGCAGAAAATGTGTCTGGCCTTCGGAGTGGCTGGACATCCCTTGCAAAGAGTCATCTCTTCTAAGCCCACCCGAGCGCTCACCTGGGACTTGACTGGGCAAACTGTGCAACATGGCACACTCTGCTTGCACGGTTCGGTAACATTTTGGGGAGCTGGCGCTTGGGCTTCTCAGGCAACAATTGAAGGACATTCAGCTCCTCGCTGCCAGCGAGCCCAGTTGGAATTCGCTACGCTGCCGCTACATCAATTGCGTGGAGCTGCAGCAGCCAGCTTCGTCGGCTTCAACATGGGACATGCCGATGGCTCGCTCCTGATCTGGCATCACCTCCAGCTTGGCTTCTTTGTGTTGTCCCGAGCCTCACTGCTCACACGGCAGCATAACGAGAGGCCTACGGTCCTACGGAATTTTCCGGGGCGTATAGCTCACAAATCAAGCCAGCCGAGGTAAGCCGACTGCTCGCAAGGCTTGGCAAAGCTTTTCGCAGCAGGTCTTCATCCGGACACACGCGGCCCTGCACTAACAAGCATCAAATGAGCAATCAAGGGGGCACTGCGCACTGCGTGCATCGCACACGCGACCCTTTTTCCCGTCCCAATTTGCACGCTCTCTTGCTGAATCCACTCTTCCACATTCTTCCACGCACAAGGTTCGACGTGGGTTCGACCGCAGTCAAGGGCGGAAGAAGTAGTTGCAGTTTGAGTTGTTTGGCTTTATCGCCCGGAGTCCGACAGAGTGCTCGCACTGCCCTCGCTGATGCTGCACATTCTGTAACATCTTCGTGCCCATGCCCAAGATGCCCAAGCCACACAGAAGCTCAGCATCCTAACAGGTCCAACTCGGTGTCTGCGATCATCGCGATCTTGGTGAGTCAGGTGACGAAATTCCTGGACCAGGTTCACCTCCACGCTTTCCACCGGCGCTGCATCGCGCAATCAAGCCAAGGATGGGGGGCTATGTGCCCAAATAATTTGCCGACGCCTTTGAATCACAGCCACGTTCGCCCAGGCTTGTCGCCGTAGTCGGCACCTGATTTGGATGAGAGTTGTATGATTGTATAGGATAAACAAAAGTTGGGTACGCACTGTACAGGCCTAGAAGATGTGCTGGTGCTGGTGCCGGCTGCTCTGCACCAGCAGCGTGGACCTTTCAGCTGGCAATCACTCCTGCCCATCAGCATCGCAAGCCTTGTAGCTGCACATGCCGCCAGGAAGCCTCCTGCATCAAAGGCCCTTAGATGTGCAAACGTCTGATAGGGTAGCGGGCGCAACTCTTGCAAAGTGACGCTTTGACACATCGACCTTGAGCCTCCTGCAATCTCCTGCGCCCTCCAGGGGCCAGCTGCCAACCCCAACCCTCAACCAGGCGTCGTCCACCGCCTCTTGGAGAGAGGCCACTGGAATACACGGGCGTTGGAGGCTGCCAGCTGCCTCCAACCGGCCTTGGTACCGATCAAGCACAAGTTTGCGCTTTTATCCACTCTGACTGCCACGACTTCCCAGTCAAAACAGTCAAAAGAGTCAGGAGCTGATATGAGCTGACGTCTGAGGCTTGCTCTGTGCTGTGCCAGGATAACCTTTCCAGAAGCCGCTCTCTCTTTTTTTTGCATATTGTGCAGCATCTCAGACATGTTCAACTCTCAGACGGGAGGCCGAAGTTGGGCGCATTTGCTTGCGGAACTTGCGGGATGGACCTGTCAGTCATGGGCTCAGGCAAGCTCCGCGGAAAATCGCAGAGAAATCGTGGCGGCGAAGTGCAGAGTGAACAAACAAGTCTCGCTAGGCATAATCCGACTATCCTTGCCCTTGCCTATGCGATTCCTGTGAAGCCGCGAGGTGAGGCATCTGTATGGCTGTGGCCAACGGAACCTGGCGTGCTCAGCAGCCCCGCAACACACCCACACACACTCAGGATGCGACTCCCCCTAAAACAAGGCCTTATACTCAGCATTCAGCTGGGACACCAAAGGCTCTCCAGGACGCACTGGGTCACGGGGAGCCGGGCTGCTGTTGAGCAGCTCGTCGTCGAAACTGCCCTGAAGTTCTCCGATTTTAAAGGTTCAACAATTACTAGCCGAACTAGGCTCCAACACTTGTAGGCTTATACGGCCTAGGGCCTAGGGCCTACTCGCAGGACATCGCAGGCATATTCGGGCGACAGCAGTCTGGTCAGGGCACGTGACTGACCATGATGCCTATTGAAGCCTATTCAATATTCCAGTCCGTCTGCAGACAAAAGTCAAAGGATGGCAATGCCGGCTTCTTGGACGTTTTGCGGAGAGAGTTAACCGCGCCCTCAGCCGCCGCATCCTGCCACACACCGCAACTTTTGCAAAAACGACGTGGCTACATTCCATGAGAACCATCAAGCACACGAATGAAGGGGATGTACCTTGAGACCCACCAGCGGCTTGTCGATGTATCTGGGCTTGACTTCCTGAGTGCGGCAATTCTACCCCCCGATTGCAAGGGCCCCACCCTTCATCAGATGCATCGAAGACACAGTCGCCAATGGGTACTGTGATCGCGGCTTTGGCTTCCTGGGAACGCTGCGTACGGGTCCGCAGCGAATTGCTTTCTCTATAACCACGTCGGACCCATCTATCTCACCCACACACGCTGCACAGCCCCGACCACTACAGTATCCGCTGTTCAAGAGCTGGCTTGGTCGTTGTTCAACAGCAACTTCCAGCTTCCAGTGTCGAGAAGCCTTTTTGCTCTACATCAGTACCTCCAAATACCTCCCAATCCAAAATACGAGCAAAAATTCAAAACTTGCCCCCAAACTCTGGCTCAGCATCTCTGGTGCTATCAAGTCTTCCGGCTCTGTGTCAGGCTCCGCATCGACCTGGTGAGCTTGTCTCTTTGTTATGTATTATTTAGTCTTCTTACATTATTTGGGATGTTCCCCCTTGTACTAACACTCCTTGGTAGGGAACATAATAGAGGGTACTATAATCCCTGCTGTGGGGGGACGACTGAGAGAGTTTGCAACCCTCAGCCTTGGCCACCTTGGCCTCGACCGGCCGATCCTGAGTGGAAGCAAGCAAAGAATCGGAAAGAACCCCCCCTACCCCCCCCCACCATCCCCCACCCCCCACCCCACCCCCGCCCTGTTCTTGCGTGCTTTCCTGTTTTGCCCACACCATCCCCTTCCCCCCCCCCGCCCCCCAGAGATCTTGGGATTGGGGTGGCATATGGGAGCTTCCACGTCAGAATCGGAGCCCAGGCACCGCCTCCGCCTTCCCATGCTTCATCACGCCGACTCCTCGTTTTCGAAGGTTCCCGGACGCAGTAAGGCCTCAACAAACAAAGCAAAGGAAAGTGGCCCCAGAAGCCCGTATCGCGTTACGTGTGGCACCGTGTAGCAGGGTAGCATTATGGTTCGACTGCAGGTATCTTGTCGGGGCACGCCGTTCCCACTCCTCCCGGGACCATTTCAAAGGTCTCCAGAATTCCGAAAAGCCGACGGCACGGTCCCTGGCGTAAGTGTACCGTACCTCGGGGTGATTCGGGCAGATTTGGATATGCTTCCACACCCTGCGCTTGGAGATCTTGCTCAGAGCCGCGCATCCTTGGCGGTGGGATCCCACGAGCGCGCCACCTCGCCGGAAATAGAATCTACCTCGGCCGAGCTGAAGGAAAGAAGCCCAGAACATGCGACAAGTTGTAGCAACTTAAGAACTCAAAAACACTAGGTGTTTTGCGCCGGTTCTGGGCAAGCAGCCGAATCTTGGGACTCAGGCTCGGAAAGCACTTCCGGAGCCTGCTCGATGAGGTCCAGGCCGCCTGGTGTCTGCAGAGCCCGGATCGTTCTTGGGTCCCGCTTGTCCGCCGGATGTGCCACCGCCTCTCGCCGGTGGATAGGCGATGAGAAAACATCCTCGGTAACACCCTGCACGGCCGAGACGCCCTCTGCACGGCCCTTTGCTGCGGGAGCTCCTGGCACTACGGCCTTTGGCTTCGCTCCAGGCTTGGCTTTCGCCTTTTGCTTTGCTTTGGCCTTGGCATCTGCCTTTGCTTTCGGCCCCACCTTTGGCTTTGGCACAGGTTTGGCTTCAGCCTTGGCCTCAGCATCTGCTTTCGGTGGTGCGGGGGCCGTGCCTGCGGAGGCTGTGGGCATTTCTCCGATATCAGGGAAGTCGTCCGACCCAGAATACTCTGCATCATCCGGGTCGTACCAGTCAGGGTCTGCAGATTTGAGCTGCATGGACCACGGGACTTGCGATGAAAGCGGAGGAGGCGCAGCCTCTGGCAAGGGTGGCGGTTTGGTCTTCTTTGGCGTCGGGATGGCTTTGGCCACTGGCACGCGGGTGTCTTCTGCGAACAAGGCGGATACTCCCAGATCCGGCACAAATGAGCCAAAGCCCGGCAGGGAATCGAAGATGGAAGCCTGCACACAACTGACATCATGGTGGGACCATGAACAAGTGCTGCACAGGCCGAACAGGTGCTTGTCAGTTCCTGCGTGACGGGCCTGCCCATCCTGCACTTCAGTTTTTGGCTCTTCTGCTTGGACCTTGACGACGGCCGGAACATCCCCTCTCTCGAACATGGACAAGCTCGGTTGCATTGACAACCTACTTTCACCTAAAGGTCCGCGCTCTTGTGCTAGACCTCACTTGTACACGCAGGACTGTCCGACCTGCTGCCTCGTTCTACAACTCTATAGACTGGAACCTGCCAGAACTGACTGAACCAGTCGAATCAAAGGAGTGATGTTGAGGCAACTGCGGTACGGGGCTAATATGCAGGCAAGGGGGCAGCTTCGGCGGTTGCCTTTGCCTTCGGCTTCGGTTTTGCCTTGCCCTTCGCTTTGGGTTTGGCCTCCCAGTTGGAAAAGATAAGAAAAAAGAATGAGCCGTCTCGCAGGGCTCGTCTAGAGTCTCGCAGAGTCTATTTTCTCTGAGCACCGTAACAGCAATCCTGAGCCCCAAAACCTGGGTCCGCATCCTCAAGCCTCTGAATTGCTTGGCTGCTCCTGCCGTACGCCTCGAACGCGCTAGCGAATTCACTCTTGGGTGGCCTTGGCCTTGGCTTTGGCAGCTGCCTGGAGCTGCGCTTGAAGCGCAGCGTGCGCGGCCTCAAACTCCTGGAAATTCACAGAGCCACTCCTCGGATGAGCACTCACTCATCTCGGACCGGAAGTTTAAACAGCCTCATGTTGTCCCAGAGTCGAGTCTTTGTCGAGGCCCTTGAAGATCTTCAGCCTCGGGCTAGACATGGACAAAGCCGAATCAAAACGGCATTCACCCCAACAACCTCAAAGCCCCGAGGATGCACAGACCGTGTGCAGACAGGACACAACTTCTCATCGCTCACAGGCTGCTTCAAACCCTGCAGCTCCCCCACCTGCAAGTACACATGAGATATGTACCATAAGGACACCTCACACATGCCATGCTTTTCTTCAAAACAGGGGCCTCGAGCGCCAAGGCCTGAAACTCCTCCCAGGATAGGTCGCCATTGCCATCCTCCCAGAGAGTGCTTCAAAGGTGTTCCAAGGCATGTCTTGAAGAAGAGACAGAGCTTCTCGCGAGGCCTTGTCATATTTGCTGCGCAGCTGCTTGAGCTGCTGCGCGGAGATTGGTGGGGCATTGCCCATGAGGAATGAGCATGTACAGTGCACCCCAGGCTTCCATCCTGTTAGAGAGTTCACTTTTTTCAGTCTTGGGGGAGCTACTCTAATCTACCCTCTAACATTCTGACAATCTGCAGAATAATCGAGCAATATTTTCACTGGGCATAGTCAACATCGGCAGCTTGATCCGAGTGGCACTGGGCCATCACAATTTTGCGGAATTTGCGGTGGCGTGCAACTAGATTCACTAGATAAGCATGGCTGCAAGCTTCTGTGCAGAGGAACTTGGCCGAGCCTTGCGGTATTCTTCAGCGAGCCGGTTGGGACCTTGCAGTACCTGCGTGAGCGATAGTGCTCTCGGGGACTGGAGGACTGTGTACAGGATGCAGCGCTTTGTGACAGTGGCCTGTGGCAGGTTTGGCTGGTAGCCCAAGCGCGACTTCTGTAACGGCGAGAGCATGATCATATGCCTTCGGCCGTCTTGGCTTGCTGTTGTGAAATCGCTGCGTGCATCGCTCTGCTGCAAATAGAGCCTTCTTACCAACCGCATGGTTCCACTCTCAATCTCATACTCCGGAGCCTGCAGGGCCAAAGCTGCACAAAGAGTGGCGCACAGTCTCGAACAGGGCTTGTGCCTTCGATGGATCAGGTAGGTCACCGCAGCCTGACAAATCACTCTCCTGCATCAGCTCCTGCTCAATCTCCTGAGGTGGGAATCGCGTCTTGCGCACATTCGCTAGTAAAGATGAGGAGGAGGAGGAGGAGGAGGAGGAAGGCGGATAAGGAGGGGGAGCAGCCGGCCTTGGTGCCAAACAGCTCGGCACGGAGAGTATACGTCCACCATGAACTTGGGCAAGTTCGCCCGGACCAAACATCATGCTTTTCTTTCAACTGCTGTCATCACTCGGCTCATCGACACATTGAGCCAGCCACTAAGCGTAGGGGTTAGATGGGCTCCAGTACCTAGTTGTGCTCAGAACACCCCGCACCCATGCAAGGACGGCTAGACATGACACATTCAGCAGCGAGTGCTCGGGCAGCAGCTGCAAGGGTCCAGGCTGCCGGTAGCTGTGGGCATATCGCCACTTCTCTCGCACCTGGAACCGCCCGGAGGCTCACTCTGTTCTCTGGAGCTCGCTCCTTTTCGCCGGATGCGGCGAGTCTCTGCATGATTCAAGCTTAGACTTACAATGGTCGTCGCACTGGTCCAGTGCTCACACACCCCAACTCACACCAACACCAATACTCAAAGGTATGTGCATTTCGGACTTCTGTGCTGTGTTGCAGGCTGTTGGCAACACCCTTCAGTGCTGGAGCAACCCCGTCCCTACCCTTCCAGCCCTCCCAGTCCAGCCCTCTGGGCTGTGGGCTGGATTTCTATATCAGCGAGGGCCTTTAACACAGTGCCACACAGTGCCAGTGCTGTACCTCCTCTGCGCTTTCAACAACTTATCATTGGGACCATTGCGACAGCGCAGCAGAAGGCACTTCTCTGGGAATTAATGTATAGCCTGTGCCGAGTACATTCGTACATGATATTATGACATCTGGTAGATATCACACATTCCGCTTGAAATTTGTGGGGGCAAAGACGAAGCACGGAACGAACACGCGGCATTTTCTCTCAAGGTGCCATGAGGGACCGCACCTTGAGATTCACATTGAGCTTTTCTCTCTTGGTCACACGGATCCTCGGGCATTCTCAAGCTTTGCCCGCAACAATGTCAAACATCTTCATCGCAGATAGCAGGACCTGACATGCTGCCGTGCAAGCGTTCGTCTCGGTCATACTGGATTCAGTGGCTGGATGTGGCTGGGGTTCCCAACCCCGCAACGACACGACTTTGTAAGAGTACGTGAACTTTAAGGAAAGACATTGCAGCAAACAGTGACCGATAATGGGCAGTCTGCTGCGGGATCTGTGCATTGAACCGCACAGAAAAAGTCGGCTCTGAAGGCCTAATGAACACATGTGTCAGAGCGATTGCCTGAACTGTTCCGTTCTTCTGCTATTCTATTTCGAACCAGAGCATGATTGTGAACTGTGCTACAACACGACGTGAAAGAGCTTCGTCAGCTTCGTGTACTTCAACTCAAACCTCGCACAGCCCGGTTGCTTTCAGGCACGAAGCTCACACGAGCGAGCCTCGATTTAGTTCATTTTTGGCCGGCCGGGCCCGGCCGGGCCCGCAAGCATCGCGCTGCATGGCTGCACCATTGACACAAGGCTAGAGGCTGGCATTAAATCGGGTGGACGGGCTGATTCTTACACGCTCCCCATGTCATCCTTTTCAACTTGACTTTGCTTGCACATCAGCAGCAACGTTGCACATCAGACCAACCCATCACCAAGTAGTTGCTGGAACTTGACAGCTCGCGTAACACCCTGGGCTCCCACTGCTCAGCTTTGGGGGAGGGGGGGAATTGGTGGCAGTGCTAGGGTCAGACAGAACCATGACCTTTCGGAGTACAGTCTGAGTGGCGGTTCTCGTGTCAAGCGCTCGGCTTCTAGTGGAGACGTGCTTGGAAACCCACATTGCTACCGAGGTAGTCCCAAGCAAACAGTCGGAGTTGGAATTCATCAGAGCAACTGGGGCAAATCGAGAGATCCGGTCCAACATTACACAGCATAACTGGTCCAGTCGTTGGCGGAGAGTCGAAGTGCAACGACGTTCATGCATGTTGATTCGAGACCACATTCGACTGGATGTCAACGAAACCGGCCACGAGCACTGGCTGATGGCTTGCGGTTTGTTGCATTGAGCACGATGCCTGACCTGGGTTGTACTGAAGAATATGGTAGCGCCAGGCTGTTAGCCTTCCTTGAGTTCGAACGGTTGAGTTCGCACGGCTTCGAATGTATGAATTGCTGGGACATTCCTGCATCTTCTCGTCTTGCGCGTGTTGCCGCGCATGACAATTTTAAACTGATCAGACTGCTTCCGACAAGAAAACTCCCTTGCAAACGGACCTGTGCTGGCAAAAGAGAGTTAGGACCATCGAGACATAGGCTCGGAACTATGTGGCTGCCCCTCGGGTCAGCTTTGGCTGGCAGAGGGTCCGCCCGGGTCAAGTTCTCCGGGCATCCCCCAAAACTTTCGGTTGGGTTGAGGCGGTTGAGGCCTTGGTTTCAGTTTTGCTAAAGGCCATGGACCAGACATAAGATACGTCCAGTACAAGTAGGGTCCTACATCTGGTCGACATGACCTGTAGGAGTCCATGGCACAAACATCTTGATTCAGCAACGCAGGAAACTCCAAGCGACTGAAGTGCAGCGACAACTCTGAACTACAACTTGGCACAGGCCGGTTGCACCAGCGCAAAAAGCTTGAAAGCTCCATCTTCCTAGGCTGTCCAACGCAAGCCAATTGAAACAGGCCGATGAATCTGCCGCTCTCCGCCTGCTTGGTCAGCTGACGCCGCTTCGCAATCGGCTCGAGATGTGCGCCATCTAGCGAAGGCCTCGGATTGAAACTGGATAGTTCAAACTCGTCTGGCACCCTTTGCTTGTCATGGGCTCCCAGCTTCAGCAGCCGTGCCAGAGGAATGGCACAGGGCTGCCAACTTAGCAGGCAGCAACTTGCGCGCGGCATCTGCTCTCACACGCAGCATGCAGCATGCATCATGAATCGCATCATCAGGCGACCGCCGCTCACTCAAGACGTCGCATGGCATTTTGCACAAGGAACATGTTGAGGCCGGCACTCGATGGTGTCAGCCTCAATGTGGCGAACCTGAACTGATGGTGTTGCCATCGCGCCTAGAACATCCTGGTTAGGTCCTGGCACATCACGGGCGCAAGCTCGTCTCATTGGGCGTCGATCTCAGCTTGCGGCGTTTGCCATGTAGCCCGTTTTCTGCTGCTCGATGAGCGCTCCTGCCTCAGGCAATGCCACAAAGCTAGTGAAGCCACTGCAATGTCCAGAGGACGCTGGGGGCGCCGCAACATGACCCAAAGAGTAGCCCAACTTGCAGTCGAGAACTGTCGGCATTGGACTCAACGCTATGTGCCTGCACAACAGGGGGTGGAGGCATCAAGTACGCTTGTACCCATGCGCAGAAGCAAGGCGACGCGGCATCCCGTGAGTCCTGCAATCTTTCGAACGCCCTCTACTCCCTCTACTCTTGAACATGTTTCAACAATTTCCAGAACGCTCCAAACCTGAAGGCTCTGAACCCTCAAAGCCCCGGGAGCTGACCCGCCCGAAAAGGGGGGGGGGTGGTGTGCAGGGGATTGGTTTAGAATGGCTTCTTTGGGGGCTGAATGTCATGTTGCTTCAAGGGAAGGAATAGCATAGGAGTAGCTACACAATGCTACACAAGCAGTCGCGAAGTCAACTCCTAGGTCGCATTGCAGCGAAGCCTTAGGCTGTGCGGATGCTGCTCGAAGCACGTGACGGTTCGCTTTCCACTCGCACCTCGCCTACGAAGTGCAAGGCGCCAGCTGAAGAATGTGGAGGACACACGCAAGCATGCATCAACTACGTGGTAAATTAATTAACTACGTGAAACTTCAGCAGGTCCTCTCATGCGTTTCTCACTCAAGGCTTCGTGTGCAGGGACCCTGGCAGAGCCAGACGTCGTGCCACGAGGTTGCCTACAACACGTTCCGCTTCCATGAAGGGAAACCTCACCAAAAAGAATCAAAAAGCGTGCAGGTCGGTACGCCGTTGAAGCTTCGAAGCTGCGAACAAAAAATCAAGGTCTCCACGTTGGAAGCCCATCGATCCCGTCTGTCCTAGAATTCTCAGCTGCTCCCGCAAGGTACAAGGCTTGGTGAACTTTATTTAAGGCTGGACATGCGACGTCAGGAACGCGCCCCAAGATCAACAAGATCCTGAAAACCAGCGCGTTCTGCACATCTGAAGGAAGCCTCGGCTCTCGGGGTGTCTTTGCTGCTCTGCTCGGGTCTGTTGGCGACAACCTGAGTGCTTCGGTGAAGTGCCGCCAAGTCGCAGTGCATAGTATCTGGCTAGGACGTCTGGCAACATTTTTAAGGCAACATCCTGCCACACCACGAGAAGGCGTAAGCATGTGCTACATGAGAGCGGATGCTCCGCTGCCCGCTGCACATGGCCTCCGAGCACAGCTCGGCCGGCTTCTCACGACGGAGCCTGGCGCTTCTGCAGAATTGCTCGTCTCGCGCACAGATGGCAGCGAACTTGAGCAGAAGAGTGATCTGCTTTCATCTTCTCCACTGTCATTAAACCAAATACGATCATAATTCGCTTTCATACCACAGCAGAAAAACATGGAGACACAAAGAACGCGCGGAGCGGAGCCTGTGCATCTCTTGGCCTCAGCGAGCCAGCGTGAGCGTGCGCGGCAGCGCGCACGCCGGCTTGCGCTCGCGCTCTCGTCTTCCTTCTCTCTCTCTCTCTCTCTCTCTCTCTCTCTCTCTCTCTCTCTCTTTCTTTCTTTCTGCGCACTTAACCCCCCCCGTTTAGGAGAGGGCCGCCCGAAGGCGTGCGTTCCAGGGTGCAGCGGGCTGATCGGTGTCTGGGGCTCCGGGCAACGTAAGTACTACAGCTAGCAACACACGGTGATCAGAAATAGAACTTCCCAGGCACCTTGACCACGACTATGGTGACTGAAAACGCCCTCATTGGGACAAATGGGGGAAAGGCAAAAACGTGCACGGTCTGAGTGCGGATCGAAAGGTGGATCCCGCCCACTAATTAGGACCTTACCCCTCCAAGTTTGGTTCCCATGTCACAGATTCGGTGACCAGGTACCTTGAAACACAGGGCCCCCCTTTTCCCAACAAACAAAACCCCAACGACCAACACCCAGGGACCCACGAGGGAAAAGGGGGAGTGGTGGGGACTTCCGAGGATTTGCGTAGTGCATAGAGGCTTCGCTCATTCGAATTCGTGCTAAGTCCGGAAAAGAGTTGCTATTTGGGTTGTACGTACGGAAAACAGAAACTGAAGAAACTAGGATTCCCGTTGAGTTTACTGCTGTGTTGCACGGAGGCTTCGCTCCTTTGAATTAATGTCACGGTTGGAAAAGATCGGTTACTCAAGTTTATGTACTAGGTTCTGCTCACTTCTTCTCAGATGTGGACGATGTTGAGGTAGTGGTAGGGTGGAGTTGTGGCGGTGGTAGTGGATGTTGTGGAGGAGGGAGTTGTCAGTTGTACTTGGCCAGGCGTCTGATCTGCTCCTCGCGATTCTCGTTGTGGCTCCGGGACTGCCCCTTGCTGTGGTGTCGGTCGCCCCCCGCACGGCTTTTCCCTTTTCCGGTTGGTCGTAGTCGTGGAAGTGGGGGTCGTTCTCGCTGTGGAATATCGTCCGGTGACGTGGTTCCTCCCTTCACGCGCCTTTCTTGGGTAGCCGATGGTCTTTCACATGGCCCCCGATTCGATGTTGTGCTCGCCCCAATGGGTGTCCTGGACCGTGTCATTGTTTCAGTTGTCCTTTCTCCTTTTGTCCAGCTTCGCCCTGTCCGGGACGCCGATGGTGTTTCACATGGCTCCCCCTGGTTTATTCTGGTCGAGGTTGTGCTCTTTCCAATGGGTGTCCCCGCCGGTGGCATTGACCAAGTTGTTTTTCCTCCTGTCCTGCTTTGCCCCATCCAGGATGCCGATGGTGTTTCACATGGCTCCTCTTTTCTTTTGGTTGACGGTGTAGTGGGCATTGCTCCGGCTGGATAGTCTCTTTCTGGCCCTCGCAGGCTCTTCAACGTGGAAGGTTGGTGTTGAAGTGGAAGTTGTTGTCGACGTTTTCGTTGGGTGGCTTCCCATGTAGTAGGGGAGGGGTTGCTCCTCAGCGGCAGTGGCGTTCGCAGTCTCCACCATGCTCTCTTCTCGGGTGGTTGTGGTTCTGCCGGTCGTAGCGATTGGGTGCCTTTGCCCTTTTCCGTGGTTGTAGTTGTAGTTGTTGTTATTGGCCATCGCTGATTGGCACTCCCACGTTCATCAGTGTGTTCTGCTTCGACTGGCACCTCTTCGTAGTCGTCCTTCCCGTCGTCTTCTCCTTGTTCTCGTTCTTCTTGGTGTTGTCGTCAGTCTCCTTCTCCCGGTGGTTTGGCCTTGCTCTTGGATGTGGTGCGTGTCTCTTGAGCCGATGGTATTTCACATCGCTCCCCTTGGCCTGCTCCTGGGTCGTCCTGTTGGGTCGTTGAGTCGAGGAGATGATGTCGTTCAAGGACCGATGGTGTTGCACATGGCCCCTCGGCATTGTAGTCTTCAATATCCTTGACATCTTTCACCCCTTTTACGTCCCTGTCGTTGTCGGTGTCGCTGGTGCTTCCCCAGTCGGCTCTTTCTTCTTTGATCTTGGTGTTCTTGTCGTTGTCCTCCTTGTAGTCCCCTTGTTGGCCATCCTGGTGGTCCTCCTGCCCCCTTTGCGTGTGGTTGCTGTGGTCTTCGGAGGGGTAGAGGGTGTTGAGGGTGGATTGGAACCATTGTACCACTTGGTGCGGGTCGGATTCATGGAGCATCCCCACCACTGTCTCGCTGTGTTGGGGCGTGTACGTTGCCGCCGTCCATTCCACCGCTCGCTTCATGTGCAAGATAGCCACCTCGACGAGTTGTTCTCCTTCAGTTGGTACTCCCTGTTGGGTGGCCTCTCCGTCGGCTTGCTCTCGAAGTGGTGGTGCCCCCGACCGCTCTGCTTGTTCCATGGCGTTTGTGGGGAATTTTAGACTGAGATGGGTGTGCTCATGTGAAGGTCTTGGAAAGACAAGGCTAAGACAAAGAACTAAGGCGAAGGTGAGGGTCGTGGCAGAGACTGAAGAGCCTAGGCTAGGTAAATTGTGTTGTTGAAGTGGCGCCTTCCCCTGCTCCCACACTCGGCAATTAGGTTTCCCCGCGACAAGAAAAGAAGCCATCAGTCAATGTTCCCTGGACGCAGCCCCCAATTTAGGGTGTAGTGGCCGGTGTGGGTTGTGGGGTTTGAGCCGGGCGGCGCGGCGGCTCAAGCCCAGGTTCGGAGGGCGGGTTTCCTCCCCCAGACTTGAGCCAAAATGGCTCTCTCTCTCTCTCTCTCTCTATCCCCTCATGAGTTTCTCATGCTCTCTCAGAACTTTCACGTCTTTACGTGGGGCAGAATGTGCTTTTTCTCGGTGCCGAGAAACGCAGGAGACCGGTCTGGTAGAGCTTCGGAAAGAAGTCGTCGGAAATCATGATGACTCCAGCCTGTTGCTGAAACTCCAGTCAGAACTCTGTTGACTGTCGATGCTTGACATTGTCCGAGACGAAGACGTGCAGACGGTAGTCATGGTGGCGGTTGACGATCACCTCTACGATCTCCTCAAGGATCATCTCCAGTGTCATCCTTGGCGCACAATGCACAGAAGACACAGAGCCAACGGAGACAATCCCCATGAGAGCGGTCCAAGGAATCGCATCACGCGCTCTCATTTGCACGAGGACGCGACTCACGCTGCAAGAGCTCTTCGCCCACATAACACAGGGTTGGTCGAATCTGCATTGCCACCTGCTTTCGAAGCTGACCGTGCTAACAAAACAGGGCATGGCATGCGACCTCCACTGTCAGGGTGCTCGAGCCGCAAGACACGAAGTGATAGATGTCACGGTTCAAAGCTTGCCTTTGCAGGGCCATCTCAGGAGGGCCGCACCGCATGCATCGAAGAGCATGGCAAGCCGCCTGCTGAGTGAAAGGTTGCCGGCGACCTCGCATAAGATGGCGCAGGCGCTGTCGAAGCCTGCTCAGTCACTGTTCAGCGTGTCTGCAAGGCTCTGCATGGCTTCTCACATGGCTCTATTCATCACTGACTTGCAGCTCTTGGCCTAGGTTCGTCTGGATCCACTCCGGAACTGTTGCCTCTCGCACGCGTACGGTGGGAAGTGTGTCTAGATCGGAAAAAGCAAACGTATATTGAAGCACTTGGAGACGCCGGGCCAAGGATGGTGCCCAACCACTGACGCTGTGCAGGACGGTGGCGACTGTGGTGGCGGGCCGCTCCTGGCTGCTCAGCCACAAAGTGCCAAAAAAAAACGTGCCGAGAGCCAAGACTCTCCTCTGCTTAGGAGTATAAACTTTGGTTTTTTCTTGTGCCTTGTGCAAGTGCTCTGCGATTCTTGCGATGTCTCGCACCTCGCTGGGCCCGCACCTCAAGTGTTGCTGCCCAAACCCCGACCCGATGCAATCGCATTGCCAAGGCCACGGCAAGAAGACCAAGCCGTTCAGCTGCAAATTGTCACAAATTGAGGTTACCTGTCGTACGATTGTTCCAGGCAATAAGACATCCGGCATTTCTCCAGGGCAGCCGAAACATGCCAGCGAAAAGCCAGGCCTGCTGCAGCAACATGTCATTAAAACGGATGTGAATGGTCGGCAAGAGGTCGCTGCCAGCCTTGCGCGGTGTATCGGGTATCGCAGAAGAGTTCTCAAAGGCTATGTGCAGGCCAGATTGCTTATTTGAGTTGGTTGGCGCCTGGTTGAGGAAGTAGGTGAAGCGGTCGTCGATGTCGAACTCATGAACTTTGGCCAGATTGCGGATGCCGATCAGTTTGGATCCGGCGAGGGCTGGACGGGCGAAGAAGTCCCTGAGCCCGAGGAGTGCGTTGTGTGTCCCAGACGCAGCTACGGCATTGGCCACGCTGACGACTCCCACACGCCGTGCCTTTGTCGGCTCGAGCCGGTCCAGGTCAAGAACTGGGGGAGCTGTGGGGGCCACGGAGGGTGATGGGGGCACTGGGGGCACCTGTGCGGAAGCCGCATGTGCGGGCCGCTCAGGAGCCTCCGGAGCCCGCTGTACAATGGGCTCAAAGGACGCGGCCTGGGAGCTTTGGGCTGCGTCCGGAAGTGGTGCGGGTGGCGGAGGGGGAGGGAGGGGCATCACAAGGGAGGCCTCGGCCTTCACCTCGTCTACCAACAGAGGTTCGAGCTTCCCCATAGTTGGGAAAAACTCTCGAACCTCTGGATGGGCATCAGCCATCCAGACCTCCCCCAATTGTCGAGTGCGAAACACGGGAAGGCCGTCTCCTAGCAGCTTTGGTAAGGGTGGTACATCTCCGGCTCGGTGTTGTTCCAAGTCGCTTCGGCGCGTCTTCTCTCTGGTCTTGGCCGGTCTCAAGTTCACATTTGCCTTTTTGGCACCCGTATCCTGGGCGGCGTTGCTTCTGGAAGGAAAGCGCCGAATTTGAAGCTGTGGCGAACCAGGCTGCGAAGGCAAGTGAAGCATCGCCATCACTAGCCCATTGCAGAAGCTGCAGGTACTGTTTCTAGTGCTTCTACTAAGTGACTAGTCTTGTGTTGCTGTGACTCGGCCCCTGGCCTACAAACGACCTGGCAGCTTGATGCTTTCGCGCCTGGCATGCGGCAGCATGATGACTTGCAGTCGTCAGCGCGGCGCGGATGCCAGTCTAAGCTTCTTCCTGACTTGAACTGGGTTGAAGTGTGGCATGTTCGGCAGTCATGTTCGACGAGGGCTCTGAGCCTCTACATAGCCAAGCGCGAGGAACGACCAAGACAGAAGCCTTTCATGCCTTTCAGCTTCGGAATGCGTGCTTTCGAGGCCATGCAGTCTGCTGAAGCTGCAGGCTGAACACCTTATTATCTTTTCGCAGGTAGCTCAGAATTCATCGGCTGGCAACTGCGCCGTGCATTGCTTGAACGGGCAGGTTCAGCAGGTCATTATCGGGAGCGACACGCTCGCTAGATGGTAGCCTCAGGCTACGGATCTAGTCACTTTGCTCCAGGCCACTGACAGATCTGTGTAGAGGGATTTCTTGGCCATGCTGACGATTATATTCTTTCAAGCGGCTCACCAATGGCCCAGAGCGGAGCGTGTGCGGTGCATTGAGCCTTGTACAACTATGGCGGAGAGGTACCCGACTAGACATGGGCACTGCCTCGGCCCAGTGAGACTCAGTCATCACATGGGAGGACGCGCTTCCTCGACTGTTTTGGTCTGCTAGAATGCAATGAAATATGTCTGCAAGTGCCTCCCAGTGCATGTGATACAGGCATCTGCTTGGATTCCCAGCGGAGCCGAATACTACAATGAATACACAACAAGGTGAGACCGACGTCATCTGCAGAAGTAAAATGTAAGCTTTCCCCAATTCTACTCAGTACTTCAGTGCCAGGAAGGCAGCCACACCTGCCTTAATCCATTTGTCCACGACCTGGTCCGTCTTCACCTCGATATACAGCACGAAGTTGGTCGAGTGGCCTGTTGTCAGAAGAGTGCCCTTTCGCGACACCACCTTGTAGCACGGGCATCTGTAGTCTGCGACATCGGGAACTCGATTCTTCACAGGCAGGAACTGCAGCGGAGGCAGGTCGGTGAACAGCTCCTTCGGCCGCGACTCCTCCAGTTGATGGGTCGTGTTGTCGAAACGCGCACCTTCTAAGAAGATGCCGTACACATAGACTCCATCATCGGGAGGTTTCGTCAACTGCGCCGGGGCATCGCTGATGTGATCCATGGTTTGTTGGCTGAAAGAGAGAAGGTCAATCTCCTCCCCATATTTCCGGGCAAAGTTTTGCATGGCCCCTGTGAAAAATGCTTGTGGGAAGAAGATTCCACTGATCCAGAAGACGGGCGGCGCATGACCCAGATCGAACCACATCTGGAAGAACCTGAGCCAGGATTTGAGCTTCTTATAAGAGCTTGCAACAACCGTGGAAGTTGCAGCTTGCGAATTGGACTCAAGTGCTTCAAGGACACCCAACGCGGGCAAGAATGTCCAGGTACCAGCTGCTCAGTGGCTTCAGGGACAGAGGGCCCTTACTTGACCACCTCAGACCCAAGACTTGACAAGCTGCTGCAAAAATTCAACAGGAGTCATGCTGCGTGATCAAACGTGTAGGACCGCGGCATCTCCGGAACCTCGTTGACAAACAAAGACTTGCCTGCCGCTTCAAGCTCGGCTGTCATCACGATGAGTCCTGCCACAGGGATAGCAAGCATCTCTGGTCTCTGGTAGCCGCCGCTTGGACGTCTACCGGACTGCTGCTTCCGCTGCCGCTGCAAAACCTCGCCTTTGATAGCCTTGCGGAAGTCTTTGAGAGAGCTCGTCATCGCCCAAAGCAACTTGTTGTATCGAAGGCACTCTTGTTTGACCACCGTGTTCATGGACTCCTCGTACCTGAGCCAACTCAGGTTGCAAGGTACAAGGAATCACGACCTAGAGCTGACATCGCCACAAGACGCATTGTGACCGCGCTGCAGTGTCGGAAACTTCGTCTCACAGACATCCAAAGGAAATGGCGTCGGCAGCCGATCCTGGATGCAAGCTGCAGGTCTCAATGCAGGCGCCCATGGAAGAGATTCAGGCAGCCACTTGAGCTCTTCTTTGGCAGCTTTTGGCAGAGTATGCATCACATGATTATGTAACACCATATGTGAGCAATGCACCACAAGCTAGTGCTGTTTTGCCGCCTGGATCGATGCTGCAGTGTCGTCCATGACCTACACAGCACGACAGCATGCAGACACAAACGCAGCTACGGCATCCGAAGCTAACATGGCACTAAGGGAAGGTCGAGAGCAACGACTTTCTAATTGGGCATGACTGTTCAGGAAGACACTTGCTGCTGGGGTGCCGAGTCTGCAGAGCCGCCATCGCCACCGCCAGAGCTTAACGAGACCTCAAACGCAGCACAAAAAGTAGATGGCAATAGCGGTTCAATAGCGTCCTTACTTATCTGCGCAGCTTGGGCGGCCCCTGTGGCAAGTGAGGAAGGGGCCATGCTCTGCATTCCTGTCAGAAGCTTCAAGGCTTCGTCTTGGGCGCAGGTGATGTTGCAGTTCTCGTGTAGGCCAAAGGCTTCGGGCATGGGGTAGAGTGGCAAACCTGCGAGATGTGAGGATGCGAGGTCAGAAGTCTACAACTTTTCAAAGCAATGTGCAAGGGCAGAGCCTTTGATGTAAGTGACAAACTCTTCCATGGTTTCTGCTGCCGGGGCGTAGTAGAGTCCACTTGTTGAATACTTGTAGCCATCCCTCTGCCCCACAGACTCTGGACAAATGAATGTTTGAAGGATCGTCGAGATCAACAGTTTGTCTTTGTCATCCGTGACACGGCCGCCGTAGTTGATTTTCGCCCCGAGGAAATTCAACACCTTGTATGGCACTTGCTCGTACTGGTTCACAAAGAGCATAAGCTGCTGCCTGCATACTTGAAGATCTTCTGGCGTGAATCCGTAGGCAATGTTCCAGCCAATCGGCCCGAACTTGCGCCTGTCCTGGACCACAGCATGGAAGAAGCAAAATCCGAAGAGCAGCGTCTTGAAGATCTCCGGCTTGTTAGACTCCTTGAAGAGATCGTCCGAGAGTGCAGAGTAAGAGCGAAGCAGGTTCGCCCGAAGCCCGGAGGGCGGCTCATTGGTCATCTTGACTCCATTCTGTAACACTTGAACTGGGAAGGATTTCGCCGGCATGGATGTGAGCCAAAGGCGGAAACTGGTCTGCATGTTGTCAGGGTTGAACTGTTCCACAACAGCCTCCAAGGTAGGCATCCAAGACTCCATCAAGTGGCAGTTCGACAGCAAAACCCAGCCGCCACTGCCCTGTGCGTTTTCAATCAGCTTCATGGCCTTGGGCCCTTGTCCTTGCCCCAGGGAAATCGATTCAAATCGCTTAAGCATACCCAGCTTGTCAGCGAAGGCAATGACGTCTGAGACTGGATCCGTTCCTGGCGACAGGATGAAGATCAATGGCGTCGTGTTCACCGAGTCGGCGAAGGACTTGCTGATGTCAAAAGTGGGTGGCTCCACAAATGCGTGCCCAATCTGTTGCGAGATGAACGTGATCACCGATGCCTTGAGGCAGTCAGTCCGCATGGCCCTGATGAAGCACATTTTCTGCATAGGAGTGAGCTTGGCATCCCACTCCCCAGGAATAGGCTCTTTGTCAGCTTCTACGGAGTCATACAGCCGCTTGAAGTCCGACACGTGCGAAGCAAAGTAGTCCGAGAAGCCCGCAAATGCTGGAAGGCCTGACAATGTCAGGATTTCGTTCCACCGCGGTTTGCCTACCCACTCGTCTGGAATCGGCGGCCCCTTCTCCACCAGATCTGCGGTCGGGCCGACCTGGGAAGCATGAGAAACATGGACATGAACGTAAATGGACTCAGACATGCCACGGCAATCCCTCTCGCAGCCGGGCCAGCAAGAATCGTAGCTCTGCATCGTCCAAGAGCTTGTCACCTTGTCATGCTGGGGGGCATCTAGGGGCATCTAGGGGCATCTGGGGGCATCTGGGGGATGAGAGGCGCAATGAACTGGCACAGGTCTCGTGCAGCTGAGGACGCAGCCACGCAGAATGCTGGTGCAAAGCGCGAAGGAAAACAGGGTCTTATCCTTCTCGAAGAGGCCGCGGCAGATTGACTGGTACAAAGCCTCCGTGAAGAAGCTCTTCAATATCCCCAGGCCTCATGATCATGCTGGATTCGTGGGGCCAGTTCATTCTCTTGGGTATGCAGATGGTATGCAGCTCATGCCAGGCTACGCTCGTCAAAGTCCTCGGATTTCGGTGATGTGTCGATAGCAATCGTGAAAAGCTTCTGGAACCACTGCAGGCTGTACCTTGGTTCCAAAGCCATGGCCGTGCATGGCAGCACCTTTTTTATGGGAGACGCTGCTTGCACCTGCATCTCAGATGCTGGTACATGGGGTCAATATTTGTGAGCTCCACGATGCAGAAGAAAAGCACTGCAGTTCTGAATGCCACAGGTCGATAGCTCTCACGTGCCGCGTCGATGTTCTTTTCCGTCACCTGCGATGTACGAGCAGGTCTGGCATGGTCTCGCAACGCCAATCTCGCAGACCATGCCTCTGCCACCTTTTTCTTCTCGTTGATGTCATCTGAAACGGCTTTCGAATCTGTCACCTGCCATCGACTGCCAACGCAACAAGAGAATTTACCGCTTGCAGTCCCAGCCCACACGACGCAGACGGCCGGACCTTGTCAACCAGAGTGTCATCCTCCAAAACATCGCCCTCGCTCGTAGCCAGGAGGCGGAGGATATCATCCTAGAAGCGATCCGCGCATGCCGCGAAGTAAGCCGATTCTGTGAAAAAGCTCTGAAGTGTCCTCAATGTCTTTCAAGATCTTGTTGTTCTTTGCGTTCTGCACCACTAGATTGTTCTTCTCTTCTTCAAGGTCAGGACCTTGTCAATACAACAAATACAGATGTCAGAGCTTTTGGTCCCCGTCAGGTTACAGGTGGCTTTGCTCAGGCTTCTGACGCTCTTTCGCCACCACAATCCCCAACATCTGATCCTGGCTTGCTGAAGGTCAGGGCAGAAACATCATGAGAATGGCACAGACCTGACACGGGTTTCGTCAGTCACAACAACGCAACATGGGGTCCTCCAGCCCACTGGGCGTGATGGCAAAGTTCAGCCTCAGCTTCAGTAACAGTACGAGTACCGGTGGTTGGTTCCTGCATTTTCTCGCCGAGGGACAATGTCACCTTGACGGAGGTCTCTGGCCTGTCCACACAAGCGACGCCGGTGGCTGCGGACCATGCTTCGTCGGACTTTCATCGGACTTTCGTCGGCTTAGTCCAGCTGCCCTGCAGGCTCAGGCTGTAGCGAGTAGTGTGGATTCGGCAATGTGGTCGTCATGAAGAACTTGAAGGTCTCCTTGGCGGAAGTTCAGGCGGCAGCAAAAGACGGCTTGGCACAACAAATGCTGAAACAACTTCCGAATTCCACACCCGGATTCTGTATATGTGACAGACTTGTCGCCGAGCTTGATTACATAGCCAGTGCCATCCTGCGAAGAAGGCTGCTCGCTACTGCTTTGCCCATGCAGCAGCGAGTGAATCTGATTCGACATGGGCCACCACACCTCTCACGGCGAAAAACTTCCTGCACCTGCACTGTGACTAAGTAGGCTAGCAGCGGCTAGCAGGACGACAGCTGGCAGTGGGACCAGCCCTGCTCCAGCACTCGGCAACCACCTTGAACGAGCGTTTGCTCGAAGGCAAGCAGCCCTCCCTCCACACAGTGACAGAGCAGCAAATGCTCTCCCAAGTGTGTTTTGCATTGTTTGCTAATGGTTTCATGGCAGTCGCCCCAGCTCTCCGTTTTGCAGGAATGTAAACCATGTAAGCTATTTCTTATTCGCAAGCACGGATGCTCTTCGCAGGCAAATCTCCGGAAGCACGTCGCTTCCCGAGAAACTCGACAGCGAATGGTTGGTGAGCGTGTGACTGAATTGTCACTCCCGGTCGGGGAATGCTCTGTTTGTATCACGAGAAGCGCCTGTGACTGCGACACGCAACGAAGCGATGAGAGGGTCCAAAACTGACGACGGCTAGCATGGTGGTAGCGATCCCTGCGATCCCTGTGCCAACGCTTTGGGCATGGAAGGAGATGAGAGGGAGGAGGGCAACAACGACACAGTGTCCAGTACAAGGTTGCTAGAGATTCCAGTTTCGAGGGTGGCACCAGACGTGTCTGGGGCCTGTGCTCTCAACCCAAAACAGGGCAGTTTCTAGCGTAGCGAAGCCATCGACAAGGGTGCAACCTGAAATCCACAAAGCCCTTTGTCCTTCACCTTCTGCTGGCCGAGCACGGGCTCCAAAGCGGGGTCGAGGTTGATGCCAATGTTCTCGAGCCTTCCGGATGACGATTTGATGTGATGCGCCGGCTTCACCCCTCCCCTCCTCGACTTTCCCGGGTCCCACTCTGCCCCGCACTCTCACACACAGATAGCTGAGAGCTGGCACAAGATCCACTTGCCAAATTGGATGCCAAGCTCCAACCTCACCATCGGCAGGGGACGGGGGGGGGGGGGGGGTATTGCCAGCCGCACCCATCTCTCTGCTTCGCTACTATTCCTACGTCATGTTCTTGCCAAGCTGCGTTCGCAAGAAGTTTTTCTCACTGAGCTTGCAAACATCGATTCCGGTTTCGGTGTCCTCTCCACACGAAAGACTTCCAAACAAAAGAGGCATACGGCCCTAAGTCCAGGCAGGTCTCCTTGCCCATGTTCTTGATGTACTTGTTGGCCTGGCGCTGTGGGTCGATCATGAGGGGCCAGCGCCTTCCATGACAACACGGGCAAAGCGTGTTAGTCTCACGTATGCCCTGACGTAGGCACTCACTTGTACTTCATGTCTCAACGACCCAAAGGCCTCGCGCGGTCGATGATGATTCCATTCTCGACAGAGAGCTGATCATTGGGCAAGGAGCATACCACCCATTGCCTCGACTCCACCCGAGCTATAGAGCGCGCGCGATGGGAGGCATGTAGTAAAGAAGTGTGTAAATGTCGCAGAGTCGCAACTCCTGCACACTCACTTCGCTTCAGCCAGGCAGCTGGATCTTCACTGGATCTCCAAGCACCGTCGACATGCTGCATCCTGTGCCAGAGCTGAGTCACAGTTGCTCTTCAGCTGCCCGAGGGGCCTGAGGGGCCTGAGGTCCCTGCCTTTTGTGTGGGCCATTTCCAGCTCGGCCAACTCGTTTCTCCAGAGTTCTTCGCAGTCGCTTCGGACTTGCGACGTGAACGGTCCGGCCTGAAGCAGTGCTTTGCTTCCTCATGCTTACGCGAAACTGTAAGGCTTGCAGATTCTTGGATGTCTTGTCTCGAGCTTCTCTGCGCTGGTAGCTGCAGATGGTTGAGGGCTCAACGTAGGAGACCATACCGGCAGCCACGATGCAATCGCCGGGCAGGAGTCCAAGCTGCGCGTTAAGATCCTCAAGAGGAAGGAGATTTCGCAGGCATCTGGCAATAAAGCACTCAGCCGTGATAGGATCTCCTTGACATTCTGGCCCCATCGTGCTTTCTCCCCTCCCAGGCCGCCTATCAACTTGTGCCTTGGCTGCAGTCAAATCGAGGGCCTCCATGCCACACAGCAGTTTTCCTTAAGTTACTTATGAGTCCTAGTGAACCCCGGCGCACTGCTCAGGACCTGACGCCCGCTGCAGCTTGACCTCACAGAGGTTCATGTCGTCTTGGAGCTCCTGGCGTGCCCACATGTGGCACATGTGCGCTTTCAGCAAGAAGAAAGATCCCTAAGACTATCCTAAGACTCCGAGACTCTGAGAGTCCTTTTGCTTCTCGACTGCTGCATTGAAATCCGCCTCGAGGCTCCAGCTAAGGGAGCATCCAAAGCACAAGACCCTTGCTGTGCATCCCCTTGCCTCCAGCGCAGCAATTTTGTTCCTTGGGGTGCAGAGTCGCAGAGGGCGCATGTATGTCAGCAAAGCCGGATGCCACAGGCTGTCTAAGTAAGCCTGTCTGTCGAGCTTGAACTTCAGATGAGCAACTGCACTTGTCGAAGCTTGGACTGGGCGGCGTCCAGCTTCTCCTGCAAGCGGCGCTTTCGACGTTTCGTTGCAGCTGCCGGAAAGTCGCGCCAAGGAACCTACTGTAGAGTGGTGCCTCGTGCAGTAGATTGAGTAGACTCTGAAGCCTAAACTCAACCTCCAATAATTGCCGGAGTGAGACGACTCTTTCACTCTGAGTCTGCCTTAAACCCTTGGCTGACAAGCTCAGCTTTAGACCCTTTGGAAGCTCGATGATCACATCGCGCAATGTTAACCCGGGCACAGGCTCCTGACATTCTGCCAGTTCTGACTCTGCCTGCTTCAAGAGCTGCCGCTTCGGCCTCAGCCGTACGCAGCATGCGTGGGAATGAACATGCCATCTTGGCTGTTCCGGAGAGCATCTGTTGAGAGCATGTCTCACAACACTCGGCTCCATGCTCAACAGCTTTGGCCACAAAGTGGTACTTGTACATCGCTCGGACCTCGAGAGGCAACTGGTGCTGACAGCAATAGAGGCCAAGGCCAGCAAGTCGAGGTGAGCGAAGCAAAAGCACCAGAAGCACCCGAAGCGCTAGGTCGAACGCCCACAAGCATAAGGCCTCACAGGCGATGGATGCCTGCGCGCATTCCAGCAAAATGCAGACAATGCACCAGAAATGCTAAGCTGCTACCCCCAAGCTCCAACAGCCCAGGAACAGGCTTGACAAGGCCTTTTTGATGGCAGCGGGGTCAAAGTCTTCTCTGTCAATGTAGGGTCCGATGGTCTGAATGACCTCGGAGATGATGAAGTAAAATCCGTTCTCAAAGGAATTCAGTGGGACAAAAGGTTCCAAGGTCCCTCTGCAAAGGCCACGTCGCCTTGTCAGGGATGTTGTCCTTGTCAAAATCCATGAGGTCTTCCAGGAGCTTCTTGGCATCCACGAGCACCTAAGTGCCAGAAATCGAGCCCCGGGCCTTCATGCCACCAGGCTTCGGACCTGCTTCTGCGACGTTTCCCAATAGTCCTCGGGTAGCGACATCGAGAAACAAGGCACAGAAGGACTTACTCCTCGAAAGAAAATGGCCCTATGATATGTGACTGTCGGCTGGGGCCTCAATCTTCTTTGATGGGTTGTTGGGGTCCGGCTTCTTCACAGGCTTCAGCTGAAACCTGTCCAGCCCACGGCCCAGTGAAATGGTCAGAAAAAGGTCATTGCTGCACGGCCATTTTGGTTGAGTACACTACACCCCAGGCTTAGGCCCTGGCATGATGCACACGCCTTCGCATGCAAGTCGGACGCCTGCAGGTGGATTTGCAAGTGCCTTCACTTCCTGGATGTGCTCCTGGCGGGTAGCACTTGCTCTCTTGGTTGCTACTGCATGCTACTGCTACTGACTGCCTGAAACCTATTTTAAGCGGTTTGAGCGCTTTGTCCACGGCTGCTCCTTCTTCAACTTCCTCAAGCACTCCACCTTCGGTGCAATCCGAACTTGCAGACAAAGCACCTGTGCGCCGTGCGGAGCTGAGGCCCGTGCCGCTTGGTCCAGGGCAGGCAGCGCTTCATCCAAGTCTCGCTGAGCATCATCCTGGGGATGTTCCCACATTTTTGGATATTCCAATTCGAATATCAGTGAAGACCAGTAGTGAATACCAAGGTGACCCTTCATTGTCTGTGGAATGCCCGCTTGCCCCCAAACCTTGCCTTGATTGCTTGTGTCTCCTCTGCTTTGACAGCTGCAGAGGCCTCCTCGGCGGCCACAGCCTCGAGGATGTCAGCTGCTCTACAACTTCAGTGCATGCCCATCTCGTTGCGCACAGATGTATTCAGGGTCTACAAATGTACTGTGTACCCCTGTCTCAATTTCTTCATCCCGCCTGGCTCACTTCTTCTGCCTCGCCCTTGTCCTTCGTGATCACCACCTGCCATGCGCATCCCGGATCCCCCTCTCACAGCTGCTGCTTCCAGTCAGTGAGTGAGGTGATCGTCAAAGGCTCACCATCATCTCGCTCACTTCCTTCTGCGTCTTCTCCAGCACAGGCCTGTATATGATCACTTTCACATGCCTTGAATTCCAACCCCGGTTCACTTCACAAAGCACACACAAGTGTTTCGTATAAGCCATGGACTTCTTTTCGACCAGCATCTGCTGTAGCCCTGCGACCTGCTCCTCTGCATCGCCGATCTTGCCCAAGCCTCACGAGCCATCCGAATGCTCATCAGCCAACGCCGACAACGACAATCACCGAGCACGTGGCCAACACTGTATCTGTGCTGTAGCGTGCCGACCTTTTGCCACTCACTGCAAAAGCCGCAGCCCGGCACAGGACCGTCAAATGGCCTGTTTGCGCTTGTCCGCGAGAATGCCGACGAAGCTGTTCAGCAACTCCAGAAAAGACGTCGGCGTGACCTGGTTCTGCCATGTTCTGCTCTTGAGGAACTTGCTCCTTCTGGGAAGACATGCTGGGCCCGAGCCGCCGGCGTAGACATATCGATTGGTGGCTTTCAAGAAGCTCTTGGAAGAGGCCTCTACACTTTGATGGATCGTCTGAAACCTTAGTCAGTATAGGTTGTTGCCAGGCGTGGACCAGAACTATGCCCAAAGCATCCCCAAGCAACAATAACCAGTCTGTGACCAGGACATCTTGAGCGAGCCCTCGAGGTTCGGCAACTCCACCTGCAGGATTGCAGCCGCTCACAGGCTGCATCAGCTGCCTCCGACCATAGCCATGCTGACGTGGGGGACGAGGCACTGAGGCAGACGCGCTTTGGCCAGCAATCTGCTGCTTGGCCACAGAGTAGAGGGCTTCGGCTGGCCACTCATGGAACCTAAAGCAAAGATGCAGCGGACACCCGGAGGCTACAGAGTGTACTTCTGATTTTTCGATGCACCTTCTGGGCATTTGAAGAAAGCTGTCGAAAAGTTATTTACAAAGCGGTCGTCCATAGCGCTTTGGTGAGTTGGTCAGCATTCACCCCTCCTAGTGTTTTTCCGTCTCCCTGCGCAGCTGCTATCGGCTGTCAGCTATCAGCATTAACATCATCATCATCATCATCATCATCATCATCATCATTCTCATCATCGTCATATACTGCGCCTCACACCAAGTTCGCGCGAGCACTTCACATGGGCAGCCCGGGGCGGGGCACCAATCAATGGTGCAGCAGTTGACCAGCGATGGGAAGCTTCCTTAAATCAGAAATCTTCTTAGCAACACACACACACACACACACGTCTCTCCAGCTCCCCTTTGCTGCCAAACCAAGGATCGTAAGCGGTTCCTGAAGCTGTCGCCCACGGGAGAGAAAGCCAGAGTGACATGGACATTCTTCTTCACCCGACCTGCAGGACACCCGTCGGTTCACAGCACCGCTGAAAAGACCAACACGTGGACAAGACGCACGAATGGGCTTCGCTCTGATGCACTGGGCTGCGCACTTAAATAGGCGCTGAAGAGGTTTGCCTTCGTGGGCTGCATGCCCATGGACCTCTGGCTTGTGATGTAATTATGGAATGCGGTGATCGGATCTTTCGGCGCATGAAGAAATTCAAGACTTTGAGGTCGAGGCTGACATAGCTGCCGACAGGAAGAGGAGATGGCTTCGAAGTCTTCATTGGCATAAAGGTTTGGCCTTGAGGGCGGGCACATGTGATTGCAACGACACGGCCGTCTGTAAGAAGAGTTCGGTAACCCAGTGTTGATCCACCCACAGAAGCTCACAGGGGCCCAGCACATCACCGCTGTTCAGGACATTGTTGATGGCCTTCTTCAGACGCATTTGTGCAACACGCCACTTCGCGGCCAAGGCATGTAAGACACGAGGCACTTGCAGAAGGATTTCTGAGGTGTGCCTCCACGAAATCCTCCTTGACAATCTGTGTGTCGCAGAACAAGAAGATCTGCACCTCGGCTACACGGTGCAGTAAGCAGCTCTGGCCTGGAGTTGTGGAAAATCACTCACATACGATGTGCTATAAACTTCTGACCTTGTCCTCCACACCACATTTCATGAGACACTTCTTGACCTCGGTAGGTGGTGCTGCAAGCAGCATCGGCTGAGCGGATCATCCTCGTGGACATGCGGCACCATGCGGTGTCGTGAGCGCGCGGCGTCATCTTTGAACTCCGTCATCCCGTAGCCTGCACAACCACATGGCGATGCACCGTCACGATGGTGTGGGCCACTGCCCGACGGCTGCCTTTTGCCACTTCAATCTGGAAGCAGTCGGCCTCGTTCATGTAAGCAGACCTAAGGCCAAGGACGCCCAGCAGCAGCTTCAGCATGAGGAAAAACAGCTCGTCGCTAATGCCGTGGTACCACACCGGGGACCGTGCAGGCGAGTAAGGCTCTGCCTGCCACTCCCACCTTCCATCACCCACAAGCAGTATTTACCATATTCTAAATACGTGTTGCCACGCCAGAAGAGATGCATTGCCTTCCAATTAATAGCTAAGGCCAGGACCAACCCCCAACAACAAGACGTTTCCGTTGGGCTGGCTCAAGACACGGCAAATGCGTGCCTGCCGAGAAAAGACCACCGCGAAGGTCCACAAAGTACGTGCTGCTTAACGAAGCATCGGCACTGAGACCCCCCACGCAGTGTTCGCAGGCATCCAGAAACATCACCAAGGGCATCGTGATCGAGAAAACCTCAGCGCACATTGTGAGATTACCTACGACACAGAGCCGGAATCCTGAGGCAACGTTTGAATCATGTTTGATGCCAAGGCCTGGTTGTAGTCTTCCAGATATTCCTCAATTGCCTGCTTCATGGCCTCACATCGCAGGTATACGCATGAAGTGCGTCTGATTGCTCATGGCACGATACCTTATGCCTTGAGCCCAAAGTGCCTGCATGTCCGTGATCTCGTCGTATGTTCGATTCTCTACCTCATTCGTCACGCTGCGTCTGTTGTACGTAGGAGAAGTCATGGCACTTTGAAATGACTGAAAGGCTGCTGGGCGCCTCCTGCGTAAGGAAAGAAGCAAAGATGAGGCGCTCCTTGCACCATGCCGATCCATGAAAAACTGCCATTGCAAAAGGGGCCCCTTGCACTTGCGCACCTTGTTGAAGACGTCTTCGAGCTTCTGCCCCAGATCCTTCAGCTCTTTTGGCACGAACTACATGAGGCCACCTATGGCCAAGAGCCCCATGTCTTCAACTCTTGCCCAATGCCCGTGGCTGCGTCTGCGATGGCTCCTGGCCCACTGCAGTCTCAACCTGCGTTTTCATCCACTGCAGGTCTTGATTGTCCTGCATAGTGCAAGGGAGGTTGAGTTGAGCACTGAGTGATTCCGAGTGATTCCGAGCCCTTGGCGGTGAGTCGGTCGCCGAAAACTCGCTGGATCTCATGAGCCCAGCACCGAGTCACCTGATCGGATGCCACATCCAAGGCATCAGAAGTTTAAGCGCGCATATATACACACACAACAGCTCACACACACACAGACACACACACACACACACCCCAAAAGCAAAAATTGGCACGCTCGCATCGTAAGGTTGTCACGGTCAGGGGGTTGTTCGACTTCTTTTGGCTGAGGCTGCAGAGGCCCAGGAAAACCTCTGCACATTCGCCATGCATGCGTGCCACAATGGTTGGCTCCTTAGCCTCCTTACCTGCCTCCACTCTTGTGAGTCCCTTGTACTGAGCCGGCATGGGCTGGCGCCAGGCCTTCCAGATGTCGCGCAGGTTGAAGAGGTAGTGAGACTTCGCGGGCGTTGGTAGCAGGTCGTTCAGCGCCTGGCCCAACTGCCAGAAACCTAAGCACCCTCCTTATCTCTCCTTGGAGAGCACGTCACTTCTGAGGACCAAGGGTTCTTTTCTTTGGGTGAACGAAATGCAGGTAATCTGCAGCGGACTGGACTTTCTTTGGCCTGTCCAACTGAGACAGTGAATCGGAAGGGGAAGGTTTCCTTCCTCCAACACACCTGCCTCAACGATAGCTGAACAACCGCTTTGGAACTGTCCAGCCGCAGTAGTCTACACAGTGCTTGGAGGCTCAGTTTTGGCCGCCGGTGCCTTGGCCACTGATGGCGCAGCCTCGGAGAGGGCAGCACCACGCATCGTGAAATAGCGCTTACTAAGTTCAAGACATCGCTGCAGAGAGCCCTGCTGGTACTTTCTCCGATGCCGCTTTGACAACCGACCTGAGATCAGGCGCAACCACGCGCTACGCGGAACCCTAAATCCTGCGAGATTGTTGCACCAGTGCGCGTCTGTGCAACAGCTCTCTGAGAAAGCAGCAGGGTCTTCACAAACTCAAACTTATCAATCTCGTCCAGAATTTTGCTCAAGTCGAAGCTCTTCTGACTCCGGATCTCCTTTGCTGACAGGGTTCAAACGAAGGCGACGTGTAAATGCACGCAAACGCAAAGCCCATTCGCTACCCCAGTTGGCTGACTTATTGCCGGATCCCAGTCGCGGAATCGCTCCCCTTGAGTTTTGCACATTGCTAAATTCAATTTAAATGTTTAAGCGATCAAACTACGGGGCTGTCATGTTGTGAGTTTAGAGTGGCACGTGCCACTGCATTTCTAAGACTCGCACAACATCCGTCCTTTCACAATTGCTCGAAGCACTCTTCCAGAGCTCTGGGCTCGAAGGTCTCTCGTGGTGCCATAGCATAAAGGGGTGAGGGCTCCACAAAATCACAACCATTTAAGCTTCAGGAAAGAACTCCTTTTAAAACTAGCTTTTCTATATGCAGGCCATTAACCTTTCTACAAATACCGAAAGCTCTGGCTCCAGGATCTTGTGCTGGCTTTGGGCCATGCAACATTCTACCAAGAGGCGTTGGGAGGTCGCATCAATAAGAGATCGAGGAACTCTGGCTCCTGCTCTGCTTTGCGACCGCAGAATACTATGACAGAGAAGAAGGCCATGCAGCTCTCGCAGCCTCTGTTGCTTCTTGGATTTTCTGCTGGAGGGCAGCAGCGAGATTGTCTGACTTCAGGTCGGAGTGAAGGAGCAGATCCATGAAACGATTGACTTGCCTAAGCTTTGGAAACGGCAATCCTCAATCCTCGAGGAAAGCATAAAACTCCATGGACTGATATGGACTGCATCCAGAAAAATAGGCCGTGCGAGCATTGCAAGCATGCTTCAGGTGCGTCTTCCAGCGCTGCAAGTCATCCGCTGGCAAGAGTGCCTCGGATAGTGACATGCACTCATCAAAGGAATCAACACACCTCAAAACAACCAGGCCTCACATGCCTCACATGCCGCCAAGAGTCCAGACATCGGAGAACGTCTCGAATCCTATCACTGCCGCTCCTGACTTGAGCTGCGCTTTGCTCCGAAGGCTCTCCGGGTCTCTTCGAGGCTCTCTGGGGCTCTGCGGTGTCCTGGCCACCATGGGAGACAGCAGCGCAGCGGGTCCACAACGCTGGCACAGCTTCACCTCGACAGACACCATCATCATGCGAGCTCGTGCTGAAAAAGTCAGCTGAAGAAGTCAGCTCAGGATCCAGCCAACAGTCTCAAGATACGCCCGAAGGTATGAGCTTGAGATTGTATTCCATCTTGGGGCAGCTCAATCAAAGCCTTGCAGCACAAGCCCCGTGCTGAGGCGAAACCACCGGACCAGACTTGCAAACAAGCCCAACTAGGCCACTGCAGGGCCATAATCGGCCTGTATGAGCTCCTCCACGGGGTTTACCTTTGCTCGCTTCTTCGCCTGCTCGTGCACGTGCAACTTCTGAACCGACACCTGAGAGGGTGAGCAGCGGGAGCAGACCACGGCTCTCTCCCCGAAGCCTTTACGACCCTAAGGATCCCTAAGGTGCTGGCTAAGAGTGCATCGATGGGCTCCAAGCTCTCACAAGCAGTGACGACCGCCCGTCGAACGAAGGAGGCCACCACCCAGGGTGGGGGTCTCCGCAGTGCTCGAGCTTGACGCTCGGGTATCTGGCTGCCTGCACGTGACATGGGTCACCCCAATCAGTCTGCGTCAGTGCTCCCTGCAAAGCAGCCTTGAACAAGGGCAATCTGCCGCTGCAGGGATTCCAGCATCAGCGCCAGCCCGCCCCCAGAGTCCAGGTTCCCAGACATGGCCAAGGAGGCCAAGGCAGCAATGGCGGCAGACTGGTCGAAGGTCTGCTTGTGCAAAAACTCCTGGCACCGGAAGGAAGAAGCAATGAAAGGGCTCCCAAAAAAACCAGAAGTACGGCGACGCATTTAGCAGATGCTGATTGCAAAATGTTGAAGCGTTGTAGTGTCCGGAAAATGCGAAGAATGTCGCAGGTAGTAGGTCAGTTCATGGGTACTTATAAGTAGGGTACCTATACTTATCACCCCACCTTTAAAACTACCCATGAACCTCCAAGTAGGCCTCCCTCAATAATCCTCCACCTCAGGCCTGCACGTCCCTCCCAGCCGCTCCCAGCCCACTAGGGTAAGGCACACATTGCCCCAAACCATCCAGACCCCCGGTACTGGGTTACTGGGGCCAGCTCAAAACTTTAGACACGCCTTAAGCTCTTTGAGGGTCTCTGCTCCCACATGTCGAATAGTCCATGTGTTGGTGAGTAGTAAGTAGCTCGTACTTGCAGTCGGACAAAAGACAGTCTTCGGCAAGAGAGGACCCGTGCCCAAGAAAGGCCGAGGCACCAAGGGTGTATTCTTCAAGAGTGCCGGCTTCGGGCTGTTGCTCCCGGTCCGCAGCAACTTGATGGCGTCGGATGCGCTGCCCGCAGGTGGCTCGTCCTGGGATCGATGGCCCGGCCAGCACCTAATAATCCTAATATACCTAATTTCCCATCTCATGTGCGTTGGTTACTGGGCCAGCCAATGTCTCACCGTCTTCGCATTCCCGACACCCACAACTGTCGCAAGCCAGATTCCGGAACGTTGCTCATGTGCTGCTCCAAGAAGGGTATCTTGCCTGACTCGATTGCCTCAAGCAAGTCTGCAAAATCATCGCAATTGTATGCAGGCAACCACCCACGCGGCCTGCATAAGCATCTTCACCGCAGCGGCAACGTGCGATCCTGTTGCGCACTGCCTCCAGTTTATGCACCGAAGGACGCAAAGGGCCGGAACATTGCAGGTTCTCCTGCCATGCAGTCGCAATAGGAGTCGGCATTAAGGCCACACGGTCACGCGGTATCTAGTCCTCGAAGCCAGCTGCTCGCCAATCTCTCCCAGTAGCCCAGTCATGTCTTTCGGGTCAACAATGCCTCTTGAAACAGACTACGTCGGATGTGCAAGCCGACATGAAGGCTCAGTGCAAACCAGGGTGCCATCATTGTCAAAAGCGACCACCATGTGATGGCAGGTTGGCGCAATAGTGCTTGTGAGCTGGGCAAGGAGGGCCCAAAGCTGACCCTGGCATGCTCTTGTGTTCACAAAAAGAGCCGCACACGCACAGACGCGCGCCCGCACACACACACACACACACACACACAAAAACTCTAAGCTAAGCTAAGCTAAGCTAAACAGGCTCTCGGCCGCCTTGCTCATGATCTCCACGCATTGCTCATCTTTGCGCGGAACAGCCGTAAAGGTTCTCATGATGCATCTCATGGCAGCCAGGGTGATCAAATTCCGGACATCTCCAAGGAGCTGTGTCCCCACCTAAGCACATGCAGGAGGCTGCTGAGCAGCCTCAACATGGAGTTGATGCGGTGTGCCGGGCCAAGACTAAGTATGAAGCCCACTGGCCGGCGGCAACCACGGCAGCAGCGGAGAAGAGAAGGGCCTCAACCAGGCAGCATTCCTTAGCACCGGAGGAATTCAGTCCAAAAATGCCCCCTAGAAACTGTGACACCGGATTAGGCCCGACTCGGTCCGGCTTTTGCCGCTGTGACTCGTAGGTTGCCTTTGACTGGTGGCGGCCGGTAGCTGCGATGATTCCTGGGCTTCAAAACATTTCAATACATGTAAATGCGAGAGAGAGAGAGAGAAAGAGAGAGAGAGAGGGCGAGGGCGAGGGCGAGGGCGAGGGCGAGGGCGAGGGCGAGAGTGAGAGTGCGAGAGCGAGAGATGCGAGATAACTTTGCCAACGGGCCCGCCGAGCTGCTCTCACGGAAATCCTCCAGCTTCGATGTGCCATAGACTAGCTCATAGCTGAGCACGACCTTGGCCTCTTCTGCGATCTTCCTGAGCTCTCCAGCTGTCATTCCCCCCCCCCCCCCCGGCACCCTTGCTGCTGAATCATGTCATCGCAATGTTTTCGCCGGGCAATTGCAACCAAGTGTCTTCAGTGCCTGGAAGACATCAATTGCGGCGTCAGGAAGCTGCCCAAGCTCTGCTTTTGCTGTCAATGCGCCTTTCTTTTTGCCATTTGTCGCACTTCTCCCAACAGAGCGAGAATGAACACTACAATCGCGGCAAGTCTGCGATGCACTAGTAGAACATGTTCGCCGTACATTGCTTTCCTCCTTATCCAAGAGAACCCTGGCAACCAAAACCTGTTGCATTAGCACGTCCGTTGTGATCTTTGCAAGTTTGACCTCAAGTTCCTGCCAGTTTGACGTCAAAAGCTCTTCTGAGGTTCAAGTTTATTTGCCTTCCGTGATCTTCCATGGCAGAGGATGTATCCGGTCTGGTCACAACCAGTCCACAGAACTGCAGACAACAACGCATATCAGATGACAGATGCTTGAGAGCGCAGTGCCGAAGTTCGGCAGGGGGGCGACTGACCCAAAACAAGACCGCCATTTTGAAGGGAGTGGAAGAAGTGACAGGTGTGGGCAGCTGCTCGGCAGAGTGGAGACCAAGTCCCAAAAAGCTTGGAAGAG